TTTGGTTTTTATTGCGTGGACGGGGTGTGAGGGATGAGGTGTGGGAGATGTGGGAGATGTGGGAGACACGGTTGAGGGCGTTCTCGACCACCGAGGAGGGGACCCCAATATCCCCGCCTTCCACTGTAACCCTGCCCCTCCCCAATATCCCCGCCCTCCCCGTATCCCCGCCCTCCACTATAACCCTGCCCCTCCCCAATATCCCCGCCCCTCCCCAGGAAACCAGCCCCACCCACAAGCTACGCCCCTCCACCGTAACCCCCGCCACAGGCCACACCCATCACAGTTGACCCCACCTCCTCACCTTGCCGTGAATGAAGATTGTTTTGTCCCGCGCGCTTTCCCGTAGTATTGTCTCCACGCGGAAACACTCCAAGTTGAAGCCACCTCTTTCGGAGCCCGATGCCTCCGGCCCGCTAAAGCCGAGTTTCCGCTTCTTCTCATCGGGCCCCGGCCCCGGCCCCGGCCCCAGCCCCAGCTCGCTCCCATTGTTTGCCATCTTCAAACCCGCAACCGGCCCGCTAATCAACGGGAGCCTTGCCCGCGATGGCGAACGGATGTTTGATTTACTCAACTACAGCCAATCAGCAGGGACTTTATTGGAATGCCAAAGACTAGTCGTTCTAAAGAAAGGGGCAGAGGCACTAACTCCGGATTCTCCCTGCTTGCTGCCCCCTGACGGCTGGAGGATATTACCCAAAGCGCAGCCCTGGTGAGATCTAGCAGGCTTTCCCTGAGTCTGTCAGTTCTCCCTACACATCTGAAAACATAACTAAGTTTATAAAGTGGGCACGCTGCAATGATCGTAACGAGCTCAACCAGATATATATCATGGAATATAAGTTCCCCCATTGAGGCTGTTAACCTGGTACAATCAAGGAGAAACAAAAACAGAAATTACTGGAAAAGCTCAGCATGTCTGAGAGCATCTGCGAAGAGAAATCAAAGTTAACGTTTTGGGTCCAGTGACCCTTCCTCAGAACAGGAAGCCTTGGCTGACAGATATAAACAGGAATGTCAGAGGTTCTGTTCACTCACAGCTAGCTCTGAGGGAGCTGGATCAGTGTCAAGGACTCCCCACGTGTAAATAAACAGTGAGTTGGCCTCTGTGGAGTTATTTAACACATTACTTTTAAAAAAAGAACCCATCTGAGGAGGCTGGTGCAGACAGAAGCTGCCCACATCACTAATTGGATATGAGTACCAGATTCTATATGAACCTTCAATGTAGACTAATTAGAAAGAAGGCCATTCAGGCCCTTGAGCCAGTTCTGCCATTTAATGAAATAATGGCTGAATTATGTAAAAATATATATAATAAAAAAAATCAAGAACCAAACAGTTTCCAATTCAATCCTACAAGACTGATCCCTCATTTAGTAATATCAGGTTGATTGTCTACCTCAACTCCATCCCCCTGCCTAACCTTCTTGACCGAGTATTCACAATTGTCTGGAGGTGCACAGTTCAAACAGATTTTGAATTCTGAGAAAATATCTTGGTGCCACAGTCCTAACTGGTCAGTCAATATTATTGAGATTGTGGTCCTTGGTACTAAATGTCAAGTCTTCTAAGTATCTCATACACTGCAATGAGGTCTCTTGTCATTCCTCTCAACTTGCAACTATTCTGATTAATCTCTCCACATGGCACAATCTTCATGCCAGGAATCGATCCACTGAATGTTGGCTGTACTACGTCTGACACAAGTATGCCCTTGCCTAGACATGGAGGCCAAAACTGCATAGTACTCCAGCTGTGATCTCACAATGACACCTGACAATTATAGCAAAACTTGGTACCCTTTATTCTGAGACTGTACCCTATGGTCCTAGGCACTCCCATGAGGGGAAATATCCTCTCAGTATTTACCCTGTCAAGCCCCTTAAGAATCTTTTATGTTTCAATGAGATCATCTCTCATTCTTCTAAACTCCAGTGAGTAGATTGGCAACCTGTATAGTCTTTGCTCATAAAACAATTCCAGTGAACCTTCTCTGAACTGTCTCCAGAGAAACTGGCTATCCTTAAATAAGGGGACCAAAACTGTTCTCAGTAGGAAATACTGGAAGCAGTTGGATGTCACCTGTGAAACCATATTGTTTTACTTGATGACAGTTGGAGAGTGTTCTCAGGAAAACAGGATGTGCAGAAAAGAGGATATCAGAATCCAAGTCAGCGAAAGCCAAAGTGAAGGTACTTGTATATTTGAAGCAAGTTGATCTGATATTTCATACATAGAACTCAGGTGTGGCAGTGGTAATAGATGCTAGACAGCATCTTCAAAACAAAAAAAAAAAGAGTCCAACACACTTCACAGAAATTTGACACTGACCCAGAGTATGACATATTAGGGACGTGCAAGGGAAAGATGAAAAGGAGCAGAGAAATATACACAAAGATGGTAGGGACGTACTAAGAGAGAGCTTAATGCACAGCTACCAATTGAGCAAAGAAAGAAAAAGGAATGATTAACAGGATAGAATTACTGTGCCATCTTGAATGGTTGTAGGGCTGGAGCTGGTTAGACAGAAAGGGAGCAATGAGATCGTGGAATGATTTGAAACCAAGGATTCTGAATGGGGAAGCAGTGAAGGTCAGTGAATACAGACATTGATGAACAGCAGCTAATCCAATTAAGGAGACAAGAGATTTAGTTGAAGTTAAATTTGCAGATAGTGCACTGACCAAGAAAGTTAGAAAAGTTGAGTGGAAGCAACTAAAGCATGGCTGAGAAGTTTCATAGATGGGCAGATGCAGAGACAGTCATATGGACAAAAGCAGAATTTTTACTCCATTGCAGTGAAATAAATGATCAGTTTCTTTTCCTGGTGCTGGTTGAAAAACGAATGTTAGCTACCTCTTGGCATGTTAATGTTCAGTGTCAGTTGGGTCCTACAGTGGGTTACACAATAAACTTGAACTTCTTAAGTACAAGAATGAAGCTAAAGCTAAACTGGTTGGATGGAGAAGGAAGGAGACAGGCAAGGAAGAGAAATTTAACACAGTCCAAAATAACTCATTTATTTTTCCCAGCAAATGCTGACAGGTGTGCTGTGTACTTTCATTTCCAGGTTTCAGCAAAGCTTGTAATGCAAATTCAGTCCAGCACCAGACCAGAGATCAGATACTTTGGAAGCATTCAATGAAAAAGACAAAAGGTCTACCTTTTTGGCTAACCACCTGAAAGCACAGTGCTGAGATAAATGGGTCATTTTCTAGTTGGCAAGTATTCACGAGTGGGGTGCCACAGGGTTCAGCCTTTGAGCCTCAACTATGTATAATCTATATTAATGACATAAATATAGGGATAGAAAGAACAACATCCAAATTTGCAGATGACACTAAAATGGGTGGAAAAGTACATTGCAGTAAACAAATTAGAAATTTATAAATTGGTTGGATAAGTTCAGTGAATGGGCCAAACTTTGGCAGATGAAGTTTAATTTGGATAAATGTGAAGTTATTCATTTTGGTCAGAGGAGTAGAAAGGCAACTTATTATTGAAAATGGAAGGATTAGGGTGTCCTCATGCAGGAGTATGCAGTTACAGCAGGTAATAAGGAAGGCAAATGGAACTTTGGCATTTACTGGTAAAGGAAGAGAGGAAAATAGGGAAGTGTGCTGCAAACATACAAACCATTAGTAAGACTGCAACTGGAGCACAGCGTACAATTTTTGTCCCCTTACTGGAGGAGGGTTGTAGTTTCACTGGAGGCCGTTTGTGGGAGGTTCACTAGATTGATTCCAGAGATGAAGGATTTGTCTTATGACAAGAGAATGATCAATTTAGGTTTATACTCTCTGGAGTTTAGAAGAATGAGAGGAGATCTAATTGAGGTTTTGAGATGTCTAAGGGGATTGACAAAGTAGATATCGAGAGGATATTTCCCCATGTTGGGCAATCTAGAATGAGAGGACATGGTTTTGGGATAAGTGGGGAGCAGATTTAAAACAGAGATGAGGAGAAATTACATCTCTCGTAGGGCAATAATCTATGAGATTCATTTCCCCAGGGTGTGGTGGATGATAGGACATTGAGTAAATTTGAGGAGGAGATAGACAGATTTTTGTCAAAGGGTCACGGAAAGCAGAGAGGAAAGTGGAGTTGAGGTCGAGATGAGATCAGCCATGAACGTATCAAATAGCAGAGAAGGCTTGACAGGCTGAAGTGCCACTTCTGCTCTCAGCTTTTGTGTCTTGTTTTTCGATTTCTCCCACCCAGGTTTACACACAAGATTAACAATAATGGAGTTGATGGCTAATTTCAATCAAGCTCTATCATTTGGACAACAAGAGGCAAGACAAACCCAACGCTGGAGAGCTGTGGGTCCAAAGTCACCTATTGCTCCCACACGTTACGCACATTGCATACGCTGTTTCAAATCCCTCACATTATCCATCTGAAAATATTACTTTCCGAAATAAGTCCAACCAATCGCCATTTGATCAATACCTCAAAGTGAGGACTGGCACCACTGCCTCAATGAGTTAAGGCAAGTTGGGAGTTTGAGCAAAGAGTCTGTTTAAATAGGGATGACAGCAAGCGATGCTCATGGCAACACCTACAGCACGGCCACCCAATTAAAGCTACATTATAGTCCAAACAATAAAGAAATTCAGCATCACCTCTAGTGTGCCATTGCAGCCTTTGGCCATCTTGGTAAGTGTGTCTGATGGCAAAGACCTCAAACTTAGCACCAAGTTCACAGTTTACAGGGCAGCAATGCTGTTTTCCAATCATTTCCCATCTGTATGTGGAGACATGGACAATGCACAGCAGACACTACAAATCCAGAGAAAAAAATATCACCAGCGATGCCTCGGCAAAATCCTGTAAATCCAATGGCATGATAACATCAATGACCCCTTTCAGGTCAACATTCCTTCCCCCTGGCCCCCCACCCCCACCAATATCTAGGCACTGAGTATAGGATCAGCTACATGGGCAGGCCATATCATCTACATGACTGGCACAAGTCTCCCAAAGCAAGCTCTCTATTCTGAGCTCTGGTCACAGTAAATGGTTACCAGGAGATCAGAACAATTCAAAGACATCCACAAAATCTCCATGAGTAAATGCAACATTCCCACCGACTCGTGGGAATCTCCTGCCCTGGACTGTCCAAACTGGAGAAGTAAAAAAGGTCCCAACCATCTCCAGGAGGCCAAGCTCAGTGTAAGGTATGAGAAAACCCAAGCATCCTTTCAGAATAATCCTACACACCCACCTCTTCAAACACCACTACCCCAAATGTGGCAGGCTGGGCCCATCCAGCATTGGACTGTTTAATCACCTAAGGACCCAGAACTCTGAAGTGGAAAACAGTTATCCCTTGGTCTCAAGCAACTGCCTGCCTAAGAAGTTTTATCCAACAAAGTGTAAGTCAGTGGGTGATGGTTACATAATGTAAATGTGTGCATAAAATCATTCCCCCACTCCTATGATTTCACAGGGCAGTTTTCCAATTATCTAACAAAACAGAAATTGCTGAAAAAAAACTTAGCAGGTCTGGCTGCATCTGTCTACAGAATTCAGAGTTAACATTTTGGGTGTGGTGATCCTTCTTCAGAACTGTTCTCCACAGATGCTGCCAGACCTGCTGAGCTTTCCCAACAATTTCCGTTTTGTTTCGGATTTTCAGCATCTGCAGATCTTTCAGTTTTCCAATCATCAACTTGTTCAGGCATCAGACAGCACAGAAGTAGAATAGTTTACACAGGTGTAATATGGCGGCACACTTCAGAGGCTGTGACTGAGAGCGGGCCAGAGTAAACCTCATTTTGTCCCCAGTCAGTGCTCAAAACAAACAGACATTCTGATCTGACACTGACATTGCTAACAATTGCCTATTCCCATTAAAAAAATTATAAAAAGGGGAAATCTTTGATTCTCTGATCAAAACTCACCACCACATTCTCCCATCCAGATTTGCACCAACTATGAGGTAAAGTCCGTCACAACTCACTGCAAGTTAGCCCGCATCTCCTAGGTTCACCACTGTTAATTATCTGAACTCAATGCTGGTTAGATTTCAAGGGCCAAAATCCAGGAGTAAGCCAAGGACAAGTATCGAACCATGTCAGTTTAATGTCAGTTTTCATCTGACTGTCCTTTGGGGACAGATTTCCATCCCTGGGAAAGTAACAGGGGACAACACTGCCAATACACACACCACACCAATGACAGAGACAGATGCATATACAAGAACAAGAAAAGTTACCTAGACTATTACATAAACAAACAGTTTTCAATGTTGCCCCTAAGTATTGGTTCAGTCAAGAATAACTTCATTTTCAATATCCCATCTCCTCAACAGCAGATTTCAGTCAGCATTGTCCTTTAGTCGCTCAACAATTCCCACTTGAGTTTAGTGTTCCACTGGCAGTATCCATATTGAACTCTGGGTCATCTTGTGCTCTGGGTCTGTAGTCACTCTCCGTCCTACTGAGTTCCTCGAGATCTGGAGGCATAAATAGACACAAATCAGTTTCCATGTTGTGTTCCAGGGTACCATGGCCTGCTGGCTGGGTAGAATTTATGACAGGTAAAATACTACCTGTATTAGGTTGCCGGAACACAATTATAATGCTGCACTTTGAATTCAGATGCCTGGACTCTCTGCACCCAGTTTTATAACTTGCCTTTCGTTCATCACGACAAGGTGCTTCCCAGATGAGTTACAGAGCAATTAGGAGAGTTGACACAAAGCTTGGTTGAAAACTGAAGGTTTTTAAAGGTTGATAGCAGTGGGTAAATGGTTGACTGATAACACTGCTACTGACTGAAACTGGAATGCACCAGGAGACCAGAGTTGAAGGGCATGGACATGTGGCCAGAGGAAAAAAAAACAAGAGCAATTTGGAAATCAATTGCAGTGTGAAAGTCAGCAAAGGCTGGGTTGAAGGGGCTCTCACAGCTGGGCCTGAGGGGTTAGAGATAGAGCTTCTTGTAGCATCACTGGTCAGGACAGCATTTAGAATAATAATCGCAGAATTTTTGCAGTGCAGAAGGAGACCATTTGGCCCATCGTGCCTGCACTAGTTCTTCATATAAGCATCATTACCTACAAGACCAAAAGATACAGGAGCAGAATTAGGCTGTTAGGCTCACTGCTCTGCCATTTGATCATGCTGATATGTTTCTCAACTGTATTTTCCTCCTCCTCCTCTCCATAACCTTCCATCCCTTTGCCAATGAGGAACCTATCTGTATTAAATACACTCAATGGCTCGGCCTCCACAGCCCTCTGCAGCAATAAATTCCAGAGATTAACAACCCTCTGGCTGAAGAAATTCCTTCTTATCTCAGTTCTAAAGGGTCATTCCTTTGCTCTCAGGCCATGTCCTCAAGTCCTAATCTCTCTGAATAGTGGGAGCATTGTCTCCATGTTCACTCTATCTGAGCTTCTCAGTATTGTACAAGTTTCATTGAGGTCCCCCCTCATCCTTCTACACTCTAAATACAGACCCAGAGTCCTCAACCACTCCTCATCTGACAAGCCCTTCATCCCTGGAATTATTACCATAAACTCCCTCCAACGCCAGCACATCCTTCCTTGGATAATGGGTCCACAACTGCTGACAACATTCCAAATGCGGTCTGACCAGTGCCTTATACAGCCTCAGCAGCACATCTCTATTCTTGTATTCCAGAGAATGCCAACATTGCATTCGCCTTCTGCCTACTGCCTACTGAACCTGCACGTTAACATTAAAATGATCCTGAACTAGGGACTCACGAGTCCCTTTGTGCTTCAGGTTTCCAAAGCCCTTCCCTATTCAAAAAATAGTCAATGTCTCTATTCTTTATACCAAAGCGCAGAGTCTCACACTTTCCCACACTGTATTCCAGCTGCCATTTTTTTGCCCACTCTACTAGCTTATCCAAGTCCTTCTGCAGCCTCCCTGCTTCCTCAACATTACCCGTTTCTACATCTGTGTTGTCTGCAAATTTAGTAACCATGCCCTCAGTTCCTTTGTCCAGATCGTTAATGTAAAACGGGAATAATTGTGGTCCCAACACTGACCCCTGTAGACCTCCACTGGTCACAAACTGCCATCCTGAAAAAGATCCTTTATCCCTACTCTCTGCCTTCTGCCAGTCAGGCAGTCCTCTAACCATGCCAGTACCTTGCCCCGAACACCATGGGCTCTTATTTTAATTAGCTGCCTCCTGTGCAGCACTCTTGTCAAAGGCTTCTGGAAATCCAACATAGATTATGTCTATTGGCTCTCCTCTGTCTAACTTTCTCAACACCTCCTCAAAGAATTCTAACAGATTTGTCAGGCATGACCTCCCTTTGACAAAGCTGTGCTGACTCGGCCCTATTTTACCGTGCACTTCCAAGCACTCCACAATCTCATCCTTAATAATGGAGTCTAAAATCTTACCAACAATTAAGGTCAGGCTAACCAGCCTATCATTTCTGATCTTTTGCCTCCCTCCCTTCTTAAACTGTGGTGTTACATTAGCCATTTTCTAGTCCTCTGGGACCCTCCATAACTCCAGTGATTCCTGAGAGATCACCACCAACACCTCCACAATCTCCTACTTTTTCCTCCATACACTCGCGCACTCTTTCTATCCAAATAGTCATCCAATGACCTCTTGAATGCCTTCACTGAATCTGCATCCACCATGTTTCAGGCAGTGCATTTCACTTCTCACATTACTCTTGCTTCTTTTACACATCACTTTGCCTTCTTGTTCTTGTTCTTTTTACCAGCAAAACAGCTTCTTCCTGCACAACAATATGTTGTTTGTTCTGCACACTGATCATCATGAGTCATGGGGAATCCTGGGATCTTCTAAATACACATGCCAACAAGAAGACAATTCCTAACAAAATGCACTAGCTTTTCTGTTCCAGTTAAAATAGGCGCAGAATCTGGCGAATCATCTTAAAATTGTAGTTTCCCATTTTGACATTGTGGTGAATTCACTTTGTCCACAAAGATCTTTTCACAATGGGATGCCAAAGGTTGCACACACTGCTCTGACTGTGGCCTGCTGCTGTTTGTAGCTACTCCTGTCAGATCTGCTGTCATGATATGCCACATTCGTCTGCACTGCTCCCTCCTCGCCCATACACTGTAGCTCAACCGCAACCTTTCTGTTACATTGTCACCCAACTGCGCTTAGGTCAACCACTCTTTCTGCTGCCCTCCACCTTGCTGATTTGGAGCTTGTCATCTCTGATCAAGTGACCACCTATTGTGTCCATGCCAGTCATCAAAGACCTGAAAACACTAATCCCATTTTCCCAGCTCTTGGCCCACAACCCTGGAGTCGATGTCAAAGCTGGTTAATACCTCAATACTACATAAGTGTTACAAGAGTTTGACTCAACCACCCTTTTCAGGCAGTGATTTCCAGACTTCCCACCACCTCTAGCTGAAAAAATTTTCAACTCTCCTCTCAGCCTTTTGTCTCTTACCTTAAATGTATCCTTCCTGGTTAATGACTCCTCTACTGGTGGAAAAGGTGCTGTCCTATCCAGCCTACCCAGATCCCTCAATCTTATACAGCTGTGTCAGGTTCCCTCCCAAACTTTGCTCCTCCAAGGAAACCAACCCCAGCCTATCCAATCTTTCCTCATAGCTCCAACAGCATCTTGATAGCCTGTGCTGCTCACACTCTATTGCAATTATATCCTTTGTATAATGTGGTGAACAGAACTGCATCTAGTACTACAGTTGTGGTAAACCAGCATTTTAATACAGTTCCAGAATAACCTCCCTGCTCTTGTATTCAATGCCTTGGCTAATAATGGCAAGTATCCCATATGCCTTCTTGACCTCCTCATCTACCCTGCCCTGCTACCTTCAAGCATCTGTGGACATGTTCACCAAGGTCCCTGTGATCCATTCTCTACAGGGTCTTACCATTTGCCCCAGCTTTGCCCAGCTGACTAGTCTGTTAATATCCTCCTGTGGCTTTCAGTTATTGTCCTCGATATTTATGACTGTAGATGTATGTGTCACCCATGAACTTCTTGAACATACTACAGGCTATAAGACACAGAAGCAGAATTAGGCCATTCAGCTCATCGGTTATGCTCTGCCTTTCATACTCCTTATATTGAAGCCTAAATCATTGATTTGCATCACGAACGGCAACGGCCCCAGCACCGAGCCTGGTGGAACCCAGTGAAAACAGACTGTTACAGAAATATCCTTCTACCATCACCCGCTGCTTCCTGTCTCTCAGCCAATTTTGGATCCAATGTGCCACTTTGCCTTGATCCCACAGGCTCTTAATTTCTTGACCAGTTGTGACCTTATGAAAAACCTTGCGAAACTTCATGCAGATGATATGCAGGTTATACCCACAGCAACACAATCAAACATGACATTCCCTTAACACATCCATAGTGACTATCCCTGATTAATCAGTGTATTTCCAAGCATTTGTGTCTCAGAATTCCTTATAATGTCTCCACCACTGAATTAGACTGGCTTGTAGTTTCCTGGTCTATCTTTTCTCTTTTTTTTAAAATAATGGGACAACATTAGCAGTTCTCCAGTCCCCTGGCACTTCATCTGTAGCCACAGAAGATTTGAAAATTAATGCCCGGAACTCTGCCTCCCTCAACAGTCTGATGACATTATTCTCGTCCAGGCCTGTGGATTTATCTGCTTTTAAGGTTGCTAAGCTCACTATTACCTCACCCCTGTCTGTTACTTTTGTCTAATATTTCACAGAATTACATCCTTGTGCATCATCCTTTGATACTGTTAAGACTGACGCAAAGTATTTGTTGAGGACTGTGCACACATATTCCAAGTTCACAGACATTATCTTTATGGGCCTTACTATAAACCCCTGATATTATCTTGCCCCTTATATACATGAATACTGTCCTCTGAGTTTTCCTTTATTCTACCCACCAACGCATTCTCATGCAGTTTCTCAGCTTTCCTAATTTCCTTAACATACCCCCAACAACACTTAATACTCCTCTGCCATACTGAACCCTTGGTATCTACAATAAACTTCTCTTTTGCTTTTAATCCAAATGTTTATGCCCCTTGACATCCAAGTTCACCAGCTTTGGTCCCACCCTTTACTAAACACTTCCTTTATTCCCACTTTTAATTCCTCCAACTGCTTTGACAGTTTTATCTGCAAGTAGCTGCTCCCAGTCCACTTGGTCCAGTTGTATTTTATCTTTGTAAAATTATCCTTTCACCAATTTAAAATTTCTATTCCAAGCCCATCCCTATCCTTTTGGCGAGGGGTCGCATTTTGATAGGTCAAACCAGGGCAGGACTTATACAGTCAATGGGAAGTGTTATAAAACAGAGACCTAGGAGTACAGCTTCATAGCTCTTTGAAAGTAGAGTCACAGGTAGACAGGGTGGTGAAGAAGGCTTTCTGCATGCTTGCTTTCATCGTTCAGAGCACTGAGTACAGGAGTTGGGACGTCTTGCTGCAGCTGTACAAGATGTTGGTGAGGCCACATTTGGAATACTGCATGCAGTTCTGGTTGTCCCTACTATAGAAAGGATATTATTGAATGAGAAAAAAAAAAAAAAAAAACAGTCCAGAAAAGATTTACTAGGATGCTAGATGGGCTGGAAGGTTTGAGTTATAAGGAGAGGTTGGACAGGCTGGGACTTTCTCCCCTGGAGCATAGGAGACTGAGGGGCGACCTTATAAAGGTCTATGAAATCTTGAGAAGCATAGGCAAGGTAGACAGGCAACTGCTTTTCCCCGAGGTAGGGGAGTCTAAAACTAGACGGCACAGGTCTAAAGTGAGACGGGAGAGATAAAAAGGGGTCCAGAGGGGCAATATTTTTCAAATATAGGGTGGAGAGTGTCTGGACAGACTGCCAGGAGTTGTGGTTGAGACAAGCACAATTTTGTCATTTAAGAAACATTTGGACAGGTACGTGGATGGGATAGGCATGAAGGGACACGGACCCAACACAGACAAATGGGACTAGACAAACCGTGAAAACTGGGCAGCATGGACAAGTTGGTCCGAATGGCCTGTTTCCATGCTGTAAACCCCTGTGACTCTAATGACTAACTACCCTAAATTTAATTGAGTTATGGTCACTATCTCTGAAATGCTCCACCGATATGCTTTCCACCTGCCTGGTGGCATTTCCAAATATTAGGTCCAGATCTCTCCTCTGTTAGGTTTGCAATATACTGGCTAAAAAGGTTCTCTTGAATGCAACTTAGAAACTTTGTTCCCTCCCTACCTGGCACATTGAAATTCTTCCATATAATATTTGGTTAGTTAAAATCCCCAACTAACTTTCACTTCTTTGAGATTTGATCTTCAAGCTTTCCATGATAAATCTGGGCATATAGTACACATCAAAAAGCAAGTTTGTCCCTTTTGTGTTTTTTTTAAACTTACACCTGTAAGGCCCTATTTGTTGATCCTTCCAACAAATCATCTGTCATCACTGCTATAATTGATTCCTTGATCAATATTGCACTCCCAGTTCTATCCCCTCACCATCTAGTTTGAATACCCTATAACAAAGAATGTTGAGTTGCCAATCTTGCTCATCTTTCAGCCAAGTCTTGATCATAGGTATATCATAAAATGTGATTCCAGAGCAGTATTCCATTGTGAGAGTCTCTTGTCACACAGTTTGTCAGGATGCAAGAGATATGACTGTGTCATACTTGAATCAGGGACAGGGAGTCAGATCAGGTTGAGCAAGGATTTGGAAGCCATGAGATCTCTATGCTGCAAGTGAATTCACATTACATTAATCCACATTATATTTAGACTTTCATTGTGTAATGATTTAACATCTGTGGCCTGGCCAATGGTATAAATATCTAATAGCTAAATAACGTCCAACTCGTCTCAGTTGTACATCATTCAGATTATCCTACAACCATGGGACAAACTGACACCATGTTAACCATTTCTTGCCATGAGCACCCTTCAGCAAGGAACTTTTTTCTTTTGCAAATTACAACTTCTGCCTCAAACGCAAGTGTTTTTATTCATAACATTTAGACATCACTGGATAGATCAGTATTTATTGGCCATCCCTAATTGCCCTTGAGAAGGTGATGGAGTGACAACCAGGATGTTGTTTGATCTTGTACACGCTGCTGTCCTTGTTGTTCTAACAGCCAAAGTTGAGACTTGGAGGTTGCAGTCAAAGAAACTAATACTGGTGCCTTCTAGTTCTGTGGTTATAGCACAGTTTGAAGTACCTTGTATCTGCATTATCCATCCTTGAACTTTCTGAAGACCCAGATTATCTCCCAATCCATTTTTCTTTAATTAATTTTAGGTTCACAATTGTCAGAATAAGTTTTAACCCATAGTATACTCATTGCCACATTTGTTTCAATGCATCAATAATGGCGAGGTCAGGTATCCAAAGGCCTACACAATATCCAGAGTTAGTGATCGATAAAGTACATTTGTTAAACATGGAACAAAACGGGCTTCAGATGTCTCTTAGCCTTTGTTTAATGTCTGAGATCAAGTTAACATTTTTGGAAGCAACTAAAGACAATCCCAAATCTTGCCCCACCTTTGATAATCATCCTAGTATGGATGCATATCTCTCTCATTCTGTCTCAATAGATGCCATCCCACATTTGTCTGCACTAGGTGCGATATACACATAAACCGTTGCTTTAATCCGGACTAAAAACAAACGCAAATGAAGAAAACTATTCAGCTCATCATGCTAGTGGTTCCTTGTTAAAATAGTAATTCAATGAGTCATATTCCCCTGCTCTTTCCCCACCGCCCTGAATCATTTTTCTTTTCTAAGTATTTACACAATTCTATCTCAAAAAGGTTACTATTGAACCTGATCACACCACAATAATCAGGCAATGCATTCCAGGTCATATTGTTAAAAGAAACTTCTTATATCTGTGCCCTGTAGTTATCAACCCTCCTGCAGGTGGAAACAGTTTCACTATGCCGACGTGATTGAAACACATTTAAAAACCTTCATTTTATTGCTTCATGGACCAATCCAGCTTCTCCACCCAGTTTCCTCAGCGTGGCATCATTCTGGGAAATCTCCTCTTGTACCCTCTCCAATGGAGAATAACACTTTTTACTTGCCAACGAGTAACTCAGTGGAACAAAAAGTGAAGGTATATTGAGCTATTTGTGTCTGACAGTACTTACAATGCATTATAGCACACTTGATCTTTTGGAATCCATTCTCTTTGTCCTGCCTGACATCAATACCAAACATAAAGCGAAGTTCCAGTGGGTAATCCTTCCGTTCCAGTTGCTTACGGACTGGAATGATCCGTCCATTGGCCGTGGGCGATTCAGACAGTGCCTGTTGCATCTGGTACCTGCACCATGGGTCTTTAAGAAAGCTGGGTGTGATGACCAACACCCAGCAATGGCTCTCCCTGACAGCTTGGCAAAGCTCGGTGCAGACAGCACCCCCTGGAGTGGCGTCCCTGAGCTGCAGGAAGCAGCGCAGACTGTGAGGATGCAATTCGAGGAAAGACACAAGGTCCTGAACATACATTATATCATCCTCAGTGTGACAGACACACACATCATACTCTTTACTCCATCGGGCGCTGCTGTCAAGTTTCCGTGATGACAGTAGGCTTGTGGGCAGTGAGGGACTGCAGGATCTTGGGTCTTCACAGGGGCTTTTTGTCCTGTCACTTGTCTGGGGGCTGGAGCATGGATTCAGCCTGGAGTTGGGACTGGAGTTCCTGTTCCTCTTGAAGTCTATGAGCCGTCTGAAGAAGCCTGTGAAGTTTTTTTTTTAAAAATAAGACAATAAAGTTAGTTGGTGATTTCCCTTATTCTCCCTATATTTGCTTACCTCCCCATTCCCCAAGTTACAGGTTGTCAAGGCCAGAACTCCTTGCCTCCCAGCCTCACCAGGGAGTCAGACAAGAGCTTAAACTGGGAGTGAGTAATGGCCATTCGACCACTGAGACTGCACGTTGAGCCTGATCTGATTCGCAGCTTCTATACATGTACATACATAAAAGCTCAGAATCAAAGACTGCTGGAGAATTCTGGCTGAATTTGCCCCTCTCCTTCTCAAAACGGTACCAAACGAAATTGTAAAACCTTTATCCTATAGCAACTGGCTCCACATATTCAGACACACGTTCAGTTTTTCTAAATTTGAGAATCAATTCAGGTGGCATATCAGCCTACATTGCTCTGCAAATCATTTGTTTCAATCATTTCCTGCATAGCCTTCTACTTAATATAAGAAGGAATCTTAGTCTAAGGAGGGACCAATCAGTGGCAGCACTTCCCAGATCAGAAGGTTGAGGTTTCAAGACCATCTCCAGAACGTTAGTCCAAAATCTAGGTCAACAGTCCAGCATAGTATTGAGGGAGTGCTGCACTGTCTGAAGTACTGTTTTTCAGTATAATGTTTTTCACATTAGATATGTCTAGTGGACATACAGAATTATTTTGTGAACACAGGTTCTGCTCTGGTCTTCTTGTTAACCAACATTATGAAAGGTGGTGAGCTGGTCACTTTGTTATCTAAGGAATAACATCCATTATGACATTTAAATTACTTAAATGGCTACAGAATGCTTTGCAACATCTTAAGATTGTGAAAGGCACAAGTCTTTGGGTTTGTAACTCTCCTGAGGCCAGCAACTTGCTGCAAAGATTCAGGTGGGGATCCGACCACCTGATAAGGAAAGGCTGCTGTCTAAGGTCTTTCTTAGAAAGTATAACAAGGGTCTACTCAGTTTCCAGATCCGCTCATTGCCTCAAAATGAATGTAAATACTTTCCTGCAAAATAGAGTAGAAAACGCCTTTGTTTTACAACTTGGAGATAGGAAGAACTGCAGATGCTGGAGTGAGAGATAACACAGTGTGGAGCTGGAGGAACACAGCAGGCCAGGCAGCAGAGGAACAGGACAGTCGACATTTCAGGCTTAGACCCTTCATCAGGACTGATGCTGCCTGAGCTGCTGTGTTCCTCCAGCTCCACACTGTATTGACTTTGTTTTGCAACTGCCAGGTAGCTCTGAGGAATATCAAATTCCAATGTATTGTTTCTGTTTTCTCTGCAAAGACTGTACAGAACTGTCTTGGGTCCTTTTGTACATACTTACTATCTGATAAGCTTGGTGTGCAGTGCAGCTCAGCTCACCGTTAGTATTGTTGGATTCTAATGGATGGTTCTATCTATTTGCATATTTTAACAAGATTCACTTACGAGCCATCTGGTGCTGAACAGAGCACTCTCTCTTTGCCACAATGTTAAAACACAGCAGCCATTTTAATCCTCAAGGCAGACTGGGACATTTCCTTTTGAAACTTTAGTTCTGGTCAGCAGAAATCTACTGTCCAAACATGGTTGTGTCTGTAATGAAGAACCACAGCAGCTTTGATTAAAAAATTATCAGTTGACATCTTCACATCAGTCCTCTTGTTTACAGGTTGATTTCCACTGGATGCAAGTCCAGAGTGCAAACCTGGCTTTAACTTGGAGCTAAAACACCAAGAGGCTTCAGGGGGGCTACATGGGAGGAAGAACATCTTTGGCAATGTGTTAGGATATTGATGGGACAGAGTAGAAAGCACCTTTCTTAGGTACCAAATGAGAGCTGTACTAGCACTGGGACTCTGATGTGGTTAGTACAATGGAAAATTTACAATAGATCAAATCGGTGTTGTGTCCCCCCAAGGAACATTTGATGGAATAGTTGAGCAGATTTATAATATACCTAATCCCATGCTAGACCTGCCCTGGGAATATATGTCCCTCCCATCAATCTCAACATTTTGAATACTACGGGACACAAATGGATACTATCAAGCCGTAGATGAGCACCCACATTAGTTGTTTTATGTACAAGAAACTGAATGAGATGTACCAACAAGATGCTTACCTGCAGTCAATGACACAACTGCAATGAAATCCATTGATGTGGCCCAAAAATAACCGATGATGATCGGTCTGGACACCAAATGCACTGGAGTCTCACTTTTGAGTGTAACTTTGTGGTAAGGGACAGTTAGCAACCCTACAGAAAAACTCATGGTGAGTATTGGTTAATAGCTATTTATAACTCTCAGCTACCCAACAAACAGCTGACCAGAAGGCATCTGTTTCTCAACTGTGCTGAGTTGGCTGTCTTGGACGGGGAAAAGTTTCTCAGTTACTGAAACTCTTATAATTTTCAAAATGTATTAATTCGTCCTTAGCTATCTCTGCTTTGAGGATAACAATGTCACCTTATTCAGTCTTTCCAAGTAACTGAAACACCTCAGCTATTAGCATGAAATCACACAACTCAAAAGCAACGTCAGTCAGCACTGGATCTTCGAAAGAGCTATTCAGTTGTTCCACACATTTTTCTATTGCCTTTTACAAAGCCTATACTCTACTGAGTGGTTCAGAATAGGGAGCTATCCACTTCCCACTGGGATACGATCGTCTCTATTTCAACTTTATATACATGTCAAGGTAGCATGCACAATGGGTAATGTCCCTGCCTCTGAGCCAGAGCTCTGGGTTCAAGTCACAGGTCAGGATCTGATGGCCAAATAAATAGATTTTATCAAGTCCCCAAGCTGTTGTGCATCAACTGCAAATCCTTCGAACACCCACCAAAAGCAGGCAGGAGGAGAAGGAGAGATCCTTGGTCAGTTGAGTCACAGAAAGAAATTACAGTCTCTACCATTACTATGCTTAGCTCCAGTCTAAATGGAAAGGTGCATGTTCCACAGTATCTCAGATTCCCCGAGTGAACCACCACAGCTTTCTGATACATCTATGTTGTATCAGAAATATATGTTAGGCAGCTAGAACGGTCAAAATTTGGCTTGGCTCCGAAACCTAGGTGCTGCACTCAGACAATTCACCCTCTTATTGCCCTGCCCTAAGTGCTTGCTACAATGCCAAGAAGGGAATGACAATTTCTGTATTGGAGTTAGCTTACTGCAGGGTCTGAAGCAACAACTAATACAGTGACTGCAGCAAGGCGTAAAGAGGCGTTCAGCTGTACCACTGCCCGAGTCTAACCCCATGTCTGAAGGTCACAAAGGACCTGCACAACTGCCACCAAGTATTTAAGAATTAAGGCAAAATTAAGACATCAGACTCTACTCCTGCTCCTTTCTCACAGAACTCCTCAAGAAAGTACTCAAGTCATCATCGCCATAACTCGTCACTCACATCACTTTTTAAATTCAAAACCTGGCATTTTCAAAACTTTCAGATTTACCTGATATTCTCGTTCCCACTCTTTCAGTGAAAGGCACTGGTTGAACGGTTTGAATTGGATGTTTTAGTCAAATTAAGACATCAGGAGGCTAGAATAGCACCAACCGATTGAGAATGAGCACTGTAATTTTAATTTTTGCAGAAGTGGATGTTCAGCAGCCTCCTCTTTTAAAATGTCACAATTAACGCAAGTGTGAATAAAGGAACTCCACTGTGCCCAGAACATTACAAATCTCACTGAATTACCACACAACGTGGAGTTAAAGTACACTCTGAGCTGCTCAGCACATTCTTCCTGGTTACCCACACTATCAGTGGTTTTGGCAAGTACAGAAAAAGAATCAGGAAGTTCTGTTTGGACACTGTAGCTACCACTATTTACCAAAAAGAAACAGTGATCAAAATCCTGGAGGAACACAGCAGGCCAGGCAGCATCAGAGGAGCAGAAACGTTTTTTCTTTTATTCTTTTCAGTTGCACTACAGAGGTTCCAAGGCTTCAGTAAAATCCAGTTTGATATTTCAATGCCGATCTCAGAGTGCCACACTATCAAAAGGTGCTAACTTTCAGATGAGGCCCTATCTATCTGCTCAGACGTTTTTTAAAAGGTCCTGTGCCACAATTTGAAGTGGGTGAAGAGTGCTTCCTCAGTCAATACGACCAAAATCAAATGAATTGGCCATGTATCTACCTCCTTCACTGATTCTGAACCTCACTGTGACCAAACTGCTGTCACACTTGCCTAGCCAACAAAATGCAGTTCACTGACCCATGAGACACAAATTGTCCCAATGTTGTAAAAAGGCTCTCTAAAACAAACAGAAGTCTAATTTTTTTTTCCTCCTTGGAAATGGTCACCCATTTAACATTGTCACAAGACTTAAAATTAAAGGAACCAATGTCTTATCAGCAGACGACAGGGGGATAGTTTATTGTGGGTGACCTGTCAGATGAACATCTATGGCAAGAGGACGGTGCAGTTATTCAATGTGTCATTACGAGCAGTTGAAATCACTTACTGTAAGCAATCAGCTGCCATCTGCAGTAGCAAGAATTAGAGATTCAGCACAAATACTTTCTGAACAAAAAAATGCAAATAAACTAATAGCTTTAGGAAGAAATATTCAAAAACTAAATATTGAAGTGCTTCTGCTGCATCTGCATATTCCCCTGGGCTTCATATGGATTCAAATGAGTCCACAGCAGAGAGAGAAATGAAATAGCATAATATAAAAATGGAGCACTCTTCAGGCAGTGTCCCTGCCTCTGGGCCAGCAGCCAAGTTCCACCTGCTCCAGAGGTCAGAGTCCTACAGCACAGAGACAGGCCCTTTGGCCCAAACCGGTCCATGCCGATCAAAATGTCTAGCCACGCTAACCCCATTTCCCTGCACTTGGCCCAAATCCTACTAAACCTTTCCTATCCATGTATTCGTCCAAATGCCTTTTAATTGTTGTTAATGTATCTGCCTCAACCACTTCCGCTGGCAGTTTATTCCATATGCGTACCATCCTCTGTGTTAAAAAAAAAGTTGTCCTTCAGGTTCCCATGTATTCTTTCCCCTCTTAAACTGATGCCCTCTAGTCCTAGATTCCTCAACCCTGGGAAAAAGACTGGGTGCATTCACCCCATCCATGCCTCTCATGACCTTATACACTTCTACACTGCGCCCACAGCCTCACTCTAAAGAAAAAGTCTTAACTTGTCCAACCTCTCCCTATAACAGAGTCTCTCGAGTCGTGGCAATATCCTTGTAAATTTCTTCTGCACTCGTTCCAGTTTAATAACATCCTTCAATAGCAAGGTGACCAAAACTGAACACAATACTCCAAGTGCGGCCTCACCGACTTCCTGTACAACTGCAACATAACTTCCCAACTTCTGTACTCAATGCCCTGACTGATGAAGGCCAGTGTGCCAAAAGCCTTCTTCATTGCCCTGTCTACCTGCGACTCCACTTTCAGAGGACCGTGCACCTGAACTCCAAGGGCCCTCTGTTCCACTACACTCCTTAAGGCCCTACCATTCAGCATGAAACTTCTACCTTGATTTGACTTTCCAAAATGCAACACCTCACACTTATCTATATTAAACTCCATTTGCCATTTCTTGGCCCTCTTCCCCAACTGATCAAGATCCTGCAGCAATTTCTGATAACCTTCCTCACTGTCCACGATACTGCCTATTTTAGTGTCATCTGCAAACTTACTAATCAGGTCTTGTATATTCTCATCCAAATCAATGATGTAGATACCAAACAGCAATACGCCCAGCACCGACCCCGAGGCACACAACTAGTCACAGGCCTCCAGTCCAGTAAGCATCCTTCCACTCTTACTCTCTGCTTCCTACCATCAAGCCAGTTGTGTATCCAATTTGTCAGCTCTCTGGATTCCATGTGGTCTACCGCCTCATCAACCTTCGTGGTCACTTCACTAAAGAACTCTTAATAGATTTGAGGCATGATCTCCCACACATGAAGCCATGCTGACTACTCCTAATCAAACTCTCTTTCTAAATACATGTATATCTTATCCCTCAGAATCTTAGGTAACTTACCTACCACAGACGTTAAGCTTACTGGTCTATGCTTCCCAGGTATTTCTTTGCAGTTCTTTTTGAATAAGGGCACAACATTCACTACCCTCCAGTCTTCTGGGATGTCACCGTACCTAACGATGATGCAAATATATCAGCCAGGTCTCCCGCAATTTCTTCTCTAGCATCTTGTACGGTTCTTCCATATATCTGGTCAGGACCAGGAGATTTATCCACCTTCATACATTCTAATACTTCCAAACACCACCTCTACTTGTGATATGGACTGTCCCAAAGATAGCACCACTAGGTTCCCCAAGTCTTCATGTCTTTCTCAATGGTAAACACAGAGGGGACATATTCATGGAGGAACTTGCCCATCTCCTGCAGTTCCACATATACATGTCCACTTTGGTCCTTGAGGGGTCCTACTCTCCTTTAAAATACTTAAAGAATTTCCTTGGATTCATTCTTATCTTCTCAACCAAAGCTATCTCATGTTCCCTTTTCGCCCTCCTGATTTCCTTCTTCAGTAAACTCCTGTATTCGCTATATACCTCTGGGGATTTCCTGAATCTCAGCTCCCTGTACCTGAGCCATACCTCCTTTTTTCTGGTCAAAGCTTCAATATCTTGTCATCCAGGGTTCCCTACTCCTGCCAACCTTGCCCTTCATCCTCACAGAAACATACAGACCTTGAACTCCAGCTATCACACTTTTAAAGGCCTCCTACTTGCTTGAGGTCCCTTTGCCTGCAAACCAACTATTCCAGTCAATCCCTGCAAGCTCCTGTCTAATTCCATCAAAATTTGCTTTGCCCCAGTTTAGGACTTGAACGTGTGGACCAGTTTTGTCCCTCCCCATAACTATTCTAAAATTAACAGAACTCTGATCACTGGTCTCAAAGCACACCTCTACTGTCACCTCAGTTACCTGTCCTGCCCTATTTCCAAGAGTAGATCGAGTTTTGCTCCTTCCTGAGTATGACCCTCTGTAAACTGCTTGAGGAAACTTTCCTGAACACATTTAACAAATTACACCCCATCTAAGCCCATAACACAATGACAGTCTCAGTCTATATTAGGAAAATTAAAATCCTCCACTATGACAACTCTATTGTTCCTGCAAGTCTCTCCAATTTCCCTGCATATTTGTTCCTCTAATTCCCATTGACTATTTGGGGGCCTATAATACAACCCCGATAATGTCACCATCCCCTTCTTATTTCTTAGGTCCACCCACAAAGTCTCACTGGATGATCCCCCAGTTATTTCATCCGAGTACTGCTGTGATACTCTCCTCAAATCAAAAATGCAATTTCCCCTCCTCGCTTTCCTCCACCTCTGTCCCGCCTAAAGCACGTGTAGCCGGGCACATTAAGCTGCCAGTCCTGTCCCTCCCTTAGCCATGTTTCTGTAATGACTATAATATCCCAGTTGCATGTGTCTATCCATACCCAAGTTCATCAGCCTTACCTGTCAGCCCTCTTGCATTGAAATAGATGTAATTTAATCCAAAAGGCATTCCTTACTCTGTCATGTTCCCAGCCTGACTTGTCTCTTCAACTTGCTATTTCTGATTACTGTACCTCCTTCCAGCCTCGCACTTGTTTCCCTGCTGTTTAGGATCCCACCCCCTGCCAATCTCGTTTAAAACCTCCCTTGTAGCACTTGCAAATCTGCCCACTGGAATATTGGTTCCCCCTCCAGTTCAGGTGCAACCTGTCCCTCTTGAACAGGTCACCTCTGCCCCAGAATAGATCCCAACGATTTAGGAATCCGAATCCCTGACCCCTGCACCAATTCTTCAGCCACGCATTCATTGCCACGTCTTCCTGTTCTTACCCTCACTAAAACATGGCACTGGAAGTAATCCTGATATTACCATCTTCAAGGTCCTGGTTTTTAAACTTTTTTCCTAGCTCTCTATAATCGCTCCTCAGGACCTCATCCCTATTTCTACCTATGTCATTTGTGCCAACGTGCACAGTGATTTCTGGCTGCTCACCCTCCCCCTTCAGAACATTCTGCAGCCACTCAGACATCCTGGACCCTGGCACCAGGAAGCCACACACCATCCTGGATTCCTGATTGCAGCCACAGAATCTCTTGTCTGACCCCCTATCTACTGAGTCTCCTTTCACCAAGGTCCCGTTCACCTTTACCCTTTCCCACTGTGCCCCAGAGCCAGTCGTAGTGCCATTGACCTGGCTACTGATGCTTTCCACTGATCGGTCATTCCCCAACCCCTCCAGCAGTATCCAAAACTATATACTTGTTTGAGGGGAATGGCCACAAGGGATTCCTGAACTCTCTGCCTACTCCCTTTGCCCTTCCTGGTGGACACTCAGCTACTCTCTGCCTACGCCTTAGATGTGACCACCTCATCATAACTCTTATCCATGATGTGCTCAGCATCTTGGATGACCTGGAGTACATCCAGCTCCAGCTCCCTAACACAGACTCCAGGAGCTGCAGCTGGGTGCACCTCCTGAGGGTGTAGTCATCAGGCACCATGGAAGTTTCCCTGAGCTCTACATCCTGCAGGAGGAACAAGGCACTGCCCTAACCACCATCTCAAATGCTCTAAGACTAAAGAGGAAAGTTAAAAAGGACTTTACTTGAGTTTATCTGTACATTTTGCTGAGCCGCTGCTCACCGAAGCCTCGCAAGCCAATGCCTTACTTCTCACTCCAACAAATTTTCAATAACACGTCTCTCTCCCCTTTTTTTGTTTGGTTAAAGGAGATGGTGTTTTATAATGTCTCTGAACATGTTCATTGAAATAACAACTTGAAAAAAGGAACTACAATTCATTTGAGAGGTCATACAGGTCACCCAAGTCAAACTGCAGAAGGTAAAATTCCATTCCTGAGAATGAAACTTTCAATTTTTAAAACTTCATTCAGTAGCTAGACAGCATTTATTGCCCATCCCTAATTGCCCCGAAGGGCAGTTAAGAGTCAACCACATTGTTGTGGGTCTGGAATCACATGTAGGCCAAAACAGATAAGGATAACAGTTTAATTAGCAGGACATCAGTGAGCCAAATGGGTCTTTTTTCCTGACAAGTGGCAATGGATTCATGGTCATTGATTCTGAATTCAAATTTCACCATTTGCTGTGGCAAGATTTGAACCTGGATCCCCTAGACATTACCTGGATCTCTGGATTAACAGTCCAGTGATAATACCACTTGGCCTTAAAAATTGGAAGAACTGAAATGTTCTGAACACGTATCATCCAATTCAGCAACGAGATCATAAACCATTATGCGATGGTTACAAAGATTAGCATATATAAAAATAAACAGTGAAACGAGGAAGTTACGAATTATAAAAAGCTGTTGCAGACGTCATATGATTGAAGAGTGCTTTGACTGGCAGACAAGTCTCTCAATATGCTTGAGAAAAATGCTAACTTTTTTAAACCTCAGCTTCAAGAATGGTCATTTGAACAGTATCATCACGGTATTAAGAGACGAGGGATGGAAACCCCCAAGACTGTCGATTTCATGTTTTTAAAAAAGTTTGCTCCGCTCGTCTTACAACACAAGTTTAACACATTTAAAGCATAAGGCAAACATGCACGACTTTACATTTTGGCTCAATCTTTACCAGGAATGCATACAACTTGCTGGCTGATTCGGGCAGGAGTTACAAACTGAAGCAACGGGAGGAAGAGAAACAGTCCCCTGGTACAGGGCGGCCTCAGGAGGCGGGGAGTGGCCGAGGGCTTCCAGGCCGAGCCCGAGAGAGATTGCAGAGACCAGAGTGTAGCGTTGGCAGTCGCTGCTTTCGCCTGCAAAGGGAGCCAGCCTCATCTAGACCCCGCTCAGGCTGAGAAGTGGCCACCAAAAACTTCCTTTACAACTTGGAGCGGGGGGCGGGTGGTGACGCGTGTGGAACCGCCCCGAGCCCATCAACACCGGCTCTAATAACCCGGGGTGGGGAGGAGAGAGACAGGTGGTCAAAACTCACCGAGCGTTGTTCGTTTACGATCACTGGTGAATTACAAACGCTTCGAACTCTCGGAGCCTGGCGGAAAGAAAAAAGCTAGGCTAAAACCATCAAAATCACGAAACCCTCCTGCACCCTACACAGGCAGAACAATCCATGCTGCTTTACCTGCTACTTGCAAATTTCTTTAATCCCTGCCAACCTCAAATCAGGAAAATGCGCCGGCAGACGATAAGGACTGCAGATGCTGGTAGCCAGAGTCCGTAAATGTGAAGCTGGAAAAGACACAGCAGGAGGAGCATAAAGTCAAATGTTTCGGGACGAAACCCTACCACAGGTCGGGAAAGGGGGAAGAGGAGCCCAGATTAAATAGAGGGAGGTGGTGGATGCAGGTAGGAAGTTATTGTGATTGGTCAGTAGGAAGTGTGGAGTAAACAGGTGAGTAGGAAGATGGGCAGGTTATGACAGGTTAGGGAGGCGGGACATGGGATAAGGCTGAAGGTGGAGAGACTTTGAAGCTGAAGTCAATATTGAGGCCATTGGACTGTTGGTTCCCAAGGCAAAATTATTAGGTGTTGTTACTCCAGTTTACGTTTGGCCTCACTCTGACAGTGGAGGAGGCCAAGGATGGACATGTCACCAGGGGGGTGGGAGGGGGAATTAAAGTGGATGGCAACCAGAAGATCAGGTTGGTTGGTGCATGCAGAGTGCAGATGCTCTGCGAACCAGTCCCCAGGTTGTGTTTGGTCTTCCCGATATAGAGAAGGCTACATCGGCACATTCAATACAAACAGCATCATTTGAGATGTTGCCTCAAATAATGGATTTCTTCTTAAGTGTTCATGTTAGAGATGGTTTTAAACTAGTTAGTGTGTGTTGTGGGGTATTGTCACTCACGAAATAGAATCCTGAGAGTGTGGAAGCAGGCCATTCGGCCCATCGAGTCTACACTGACCCCAAACAACATCCCACCCAAACCCCACTCCCCTACCGTATCCCGGTAACCCTGCATTTCCCACGACTAATCCACCTAACCTGTGCATCTTTGGTTGTGGGAGGAAACCAGAGTGGTAGGAGGAAACCCATGCGGACACGGGGAGAATATGCAAATTCCACACAGTCACCAGAGGGTGGAATCAAACCCAGGTCCCTGGCACTGCGAGGCAGCAGTGCTAACTACTGAGCCTCTGTACCACCCCAAGGTGGGGTACATAGGCTTACAAAACAAGTGGATATGGCAGTATTACAGGGCAACTATTTGGATAATGATCCTCAGAGAGGGACAGAGTACATAGAAAAATAGCAGTAAATAGGGTAAAAAGGGGAATAAATGGTAAAAGGGCGAAGTTAATAGCCAAAATAAAGCCAGTTAACTACGGTTGCTGGAAATCTGAAACAAAAACAGAAATTGCTGGAGAAACACAATAGGACGGGCATCTGTGGAGAGAAAAGAAACAGGCTTGCTGTTTCAAAAACAGTGACCCTTAATCAGAACACAAAATTAAAGACTCTTTACTTGAATGTACATGGTGTTTGGAACAAAATAAAACTTCACAAATACAGATTACTGGGTGTAATCTTAAAGCTATTACAGAGACATGGTTACAAGGAGATTGAAGTCAGGAACTAAATATTCAGAGGTATGTAACTTTTTGAAGGGACAAGCAGGAAGGAAAGTATGGTGCGTCGCATTGTTGGTATGGGTGAAATGATCTTGAATTGAAAGATGCACAATCCATTCGGGTGAAGAAAATAAAAGGAGTGACACTGGTAGTGGTCTACAGGCCTCCGAACAGTAGCTATACAGTGAGACAGAGTAAATAAGGACATAATGAAGGCATGTAGCAAAAGCAGCACATTAATCCTGGGTGACTTTCATCTACATGTCAATTGAGATAGATTGGCAGAAGAAGCCATGAGGAAGAATTCAGAATGTATTAGGACAGTTTCCTAGAACATTGTGTTGTGGATCCAACCAGCAATCAGGTCATTTTGGATCTGGCAACGTGTAATCAGGCAGTTTTAATAAAAATCAAGAGTAAAAGATCCTTTCAGAAACTGTGACCATAACATGGAAGAATTTAGCATTCAGTTTGAGAAAGAACAATATTTGTCAGAAACAACTGCTACGTTTAAATATGGGTAATTGTAAAGGAATGACAGCATAGCTGGCTAGAGTGGACTGGGGAAGGAGGTTTGCAGCAAAGATGGTTAAGGAACAATGGTAGACAATTTAGAAAATAGCTCATAGCAAGATATATTCCAGTTAGGAAGGAGGATTCTGGAATGGTTGAACAGGGAAGTTAAAGACAAAGATAATGTCAGATTCTAAGGTGTTGGAGCAGATCTGTAGCTCAGGTTGTGGGTGTTCAGGTTGGTTGGCTCGCCAAGCCAACGAACCTCAACATAATATCAGATTGAAAGAAAAACACATACAATTTGGCAAGATTAGTGATAAGCTTAACTAACAGGAACATTTTAAACACCAAAAGAACCAAAAAAAAGGGAGAAAATAAACTTTGAGGGTAAACTTGTAAGTAATATCAAGACGAACTGCACGAGCAAAAGGAGGAGAGGAAATAAACACAATAACCATCACTAGAAAAAAAAAGTGCTAGGGAAACTGATGAGTCTAATGACCAATATATCTCCTGGACCTGATAGAATACAATCTAGGATAATAAAGGAAGTAGCTACAGAGTTTGTGGATGTACTAGTAGCAATCTTCTAGGAGTTCTTAAATTCTGGAAAAGTTCCAGGTGTTCGGAAAACTGCCAATGTAACACCTTTACTTTCAAAAAAAGTGAAGGAGACAAAAAAAGGTAACCATAAGCCAGTCTGTTGTTGGGATGTTAGACAATGTAGTAGTAGAGCATTTAGAAATGCATGATATGATGATGACATGAGTCAATGTGACTTCATAAAGGGAAAATCATGCATGACAAATTTATGAGAATTTTACAAGGTGGTAGTAAGCAAGATAGATAAAGGGGAACTTGTGGTTATAGTACATTTGGATTTTCGAAGACTTTTAATAAGATGCTACACATTAGGCTACTTAAGAGCCCATGGTGTTGGAGGTAGTATATTAGCATACATAGAGGATTGACTAACTCAGGAGACAGACATTTGGGTTAAGGGGGGCATTTTCAGAATGGCAACCTGTAACTATTGGTGTGCCACAGGGATCAATGCTGGAGCCACAATTATTTACTATGTATGTTAATGCATGGGAAGATGAAAGTGAATGCACTGCAGGAGAGTTTGTGGACATCACAATAATAGGCATGAAGGCAAGTAGTGAAGATGATACAATATACAATGTGATGCTGACAGGTTAAATGAGCGGCACGTGGAATATAATGTGGGGAAATGTGAAGTTTAGCAGGGAGAATAAAACTGATTATTTACGGAGAAAGACTGTAGAAAGCAACAGAACAGAAGGATGTGAGAATCTTGATCCATGAATCACAAAAATCTAGCATCCAAGTTCAGTAGGTAATAAAGGAAGGCGAATGGAATGCAGACCTTTATTTCAAAAGGAATGGAGTCTCAAAGTTGGGAGGTTTGGCTAAAATTGTACAAGGTGCTATGCATACCACAACTGGCCAATTGTGAGCAGTTTTTGGCCCTTCATCCAAGGGGAGGCATATAGACATTAGAGGCAGTCCAGAGAAGGTTAATTAGGCTGGTAGTAAGTACTGAAGGGACCGTCTTAGGAAGACAGCTTGAGTAGATTGAGCCTGTACTCATTGAACTAAAGATTGAGAGGTGACCACATTGAAACATACAAGATTCTCAAAGGACTTAACAAGATAGATGTGGAAAGTTGTTGCCCCTTATGGGAGAGTTTAGGACCAAAGGCATTATTTCAAAGTAACGTGTTGCACATTTAAAACAGATGAGGAGGAATTTCTTCTCTAAGGGTTGTTAACCTGTGGAATTCTCTACCAGAGGACTGTTGAGGCTGGGTCATTAAAAATATTAAAGACTCTGACAGACAGATTTTTAATCTAAAAAGGAATCAAGGGTTGTGCAGAAAATTCAGAAAATAGAGTTGAAGATTATAAGAGCAACCGTGATCTCATTGCATGATGGAGTACACTCAAAGGGCTGAATAGCCTACTTTTACTCCTATGACCTTTTGACATCATGAATAGTAAATCACAGATTTGCAGAACTGCTCCAGTGCAGGAGGCCATTCGGCCCTTTAAGTCTCTGCAGGCTCTCCAAATGAGCACAGGTAGTTTGCCTATAATGCGATAGTTGCATTCTTCTGTGCCCTTGTGCTACTGAAAATCACGTTATAGAAAATAGCTTTATAGGGAAATTGCTATAGAAAATCACAATCTGTACAGCAGAAAGTTCACATTATCCAAATAGCATCCACTATTCTTCAATTGCATTACAGCCAATTCGCGTTAACGCAACATACATTATAGCAAAAATACCTATATTATGATTTGATTTTGTTCTCCTGCCCTTTCCCATAGCCTTGCACATTGTTTCTAGTTAAATGATCACTCAATAACCATTTAACCACCTCATTTGAGCCTGCCTCGATCAGTTTTCCAGGCAGTTTTCTCCAATCTGAATCACTTGTCACGTGAAAAAAATCTTAGCTCCACATCACAACTGCTGCTTTTGCAAATCACTGTTAATCTGTGCATTGAGATCCTTTTACACGTGGGAGCAGTTATACCTTGCCTTTCCATACCCCTCATGTTTTTGAAATCTTTAACATATGTACATGCAGGGACTGGCCAACCCAATGAACACTAAAATTAATACTTTTAGTAGGTGCTGCTTGTAGGAAGAATACTTGTATCTTCATAAATACAGATGGGGTCCTGATTTCATAAGCCTCAGTGCTGCACTGAGAAATGCCCAGTTGTGAGCAAACCCAGGCTCTCAATTCCCGAGTCATAATGGAGTGGTACCAAGCTAAGCCTGGAGTAAAAACCTGTCATGGCATAATTTCAAATACTGGAAGACACCATTCAGCCCATTGGGTACATACTGGCTTGCCATGGTACAATCCAGTCAGTGACACTTCTCCAACCACTGTTGCCCTTCAAATTTACTTTCTTCAAATTCCTATGCAATTTCCTTTTAAAATTTGTCAAATGTACAATAGCAGCTTGAAATGATATTGAATACTGTACTTTAACCAAATAAACTATCGCAAGATATTTCATAGGAGCTGAACATCAATTAATCTTCATAGAGTCATTCAGTACAGAGACGCCCCTTGGTCCATCGAGTCTGCACTGACAATAAAACAACTCACTCCACACTAATCTCACTTTCCAGCACTTGGCCCATTTCTTTGAATGTTATATCATTTCAAATGCTCATCCAAAAACTTCTTAAACGTTGTGAAGTTCCCCACCTCAACTACCCTCCCAGGCAGTGTGTTCCAAATTCCTCCCACCCTCAGTAAAATAAATTTTCCTCAAATTGCCTCTCAACCTGCTGCCTTTCATCTTAAAACTATGCCTGTTATTGGCCCTTGAACCAAGGAGAATAGTTGTTTTCAATGAATTCTGACCATGCTTTTCAATCTCGTACAGCTCAATCAGGTTCCCTCTCAATCTTTTCTGCTGTAAAGAATACAATGTGAACTTAACCAGCCTCTCTTCATAGCTAAATTGATCCAGCCGAGGAAACATCTGGTGAATTTTCTTTGCAACCTCCTCCAGTGCAACCACATCCTTCTTATCATGTGGTGACCAGAACTGTACATAACACTCCAGTTGTGGCCTAAGCAAAGGTTTGTACAGATACAACATAACATCCCTGCACTTATAATCTATGCCATGAATGATAAAGGCAAGTATCCTGTATGCCATCCTAACTACCCTATTAACTAATCTAAGAACATAAAAGACAAATGAGCCTGAACCTATTTTTAGTGAGTGGTTTTTCTCCTTTTCATTATGTGTATCCCTCAAAATGATGGAGATGTAGTTTCAATACTTTAATTGGATAGGTAATTCTCAACATTAATCATCTACCTGAATAAATTTATATCTGATTACATGCATTCCAAGGATGATCCACAGGCCGATGGCCTGGTCACAAGAAACAGTCTAATATATTGGGACTGGTAGGTGGGGGAGGCAACATGGTGAACGACATTCTTCAATGCCACAGTGATATGAATATCACTGAACTAAGACAAGGTGGCAATTGCCTGCAGATAGTTCAGCACTAGATTGGCTTAATTTTCTGGACTAAATAACCAATGAAACCAACAGTAGTGTATCACTTTTCAAAATCAAGCCAACATGTAGACTTAATACATTTATCCAGCTAATTGGCACAACAACTTGCTTTGCATTTATGACACTTATCTGGTACAATATCCAAAAAGCACAACCATACAAGTGACTAAAAATCTCTCTCTTTGGACAAAATTTGAAGTGCTTGCTGATCGGTTCTGGGTCCTCTTTTGTCAGTCATTTATAGAAATGATTTGGATGAGAATATAGAAGGCGTGGTTAGTAAGTTTTCGGAAGACACCAAAATTGGTGGCATAGTAGACACTGAAGAAGGTTTTTCTAATATTACAAAGGGATCTTGATCAAATGGGTCAATGGGCTGAAAAATGGCAGATGGAGTTCAGTCTGGATAAATGTGAGGTTTGCATTTTGGTACAGCAAACAGGAGTATGGCTTGGACAGTGTTGTAGAACAGAGGGACCTAGGGGTGCAGGTACATAATTCTTTGAAGTTTGCATCACATATAGATAGGGTGGTTAAAAAGGCTTTTAGCATGCTTGCTTTCATTGCTCAGTCCTTTTGAGTATACGAGTTGCGAAGTCATGTTGAGGTTGTACAGGACGTTGGTGAGGCCTCTCCTGGAGCACTGTGTCCAGTTCTGTTTGCACAGCCATAGAAAGGATATTATTAAGCTGGAGAGGGTTCAGAAGAGATTTACCAGGTATGGAAGGTTGGAGTTATAAAGAAAATTTGAATAGACTGGGACATTCTTCACTGGAGCGTCGGTGGTTGAGAAATGACCTAATAGAAGTTTATAAAATAATAAAGGGGTATTTGTCTTTTCCCTAGGATGGGGGATTTCAAGACTAGGGGACACATTTTCATATTTTTAAGGTGAGGGGAAAGAGATTTAAAAAAGACATGAAGAGCAATTTTTTTTAAAAAACAGAGGGTGGTTCACATGTGGAATGAACTTTGAGGAAGTGTTGGATGTGGGTACAATTACAATGTTGAAAAGACATTTAGATAAGTACAAGAATAGGAAAGGTTTGGAGGGATATGGGCTAGGAGCAGGCAGGTGGGACTAGTTTAGTTTGGGATTATGTTTGACATGAACTGGTTGGATCAAAGGGTCTGTTTCTGTTCTGTACGACTGAGTCTAAGGGATCCAAAGCTCAATTTGGTAAAAAGCAAATCACTATTTGGAAGAACAACAAATTCCAAAAATACTGAAGGTCAGCACAAGCCAAGAACTCTACAGATATCTAGAATCACTCCATTTCAGATATAAAAAAAACTAATGGCAATGGAGCCAAACCAAAGCAAAAAAATTTGACATTCACCCCAGTCCATAAAAGAAATTTTGTCTTCAAGAAAGTATTATAGCTAACATATCAGAAGTTAGAAATTACGGAGATGGAACAGGGAAAGATCTATTTTCCATTCCAGGAATAGGGACAATTTGGCAACAGAGTCTTTCAAAACCAAGCCTAAATTTCCTTTTATGACTTTCAGACAAACCACAAGATGGTGGGCTTAAGTCTAATTTAAATCTGGGCTGACACACTAATATTGATACTAATAGGGGTGCAGCACTGTTGGCTGTGTTGTTTTCAAGACCCTAGATATTCTCTCAGATTGATGTGTAAAATCCTACTGCATTATCAAAAAAAATGCTTTTGGTAAACCTAATAAACAATTATTCCTCAAACATGTAATAGTATTGCAAACCAAGGATCATACCTGGGACCTGATGGTCTGGATAGGGACTCTGCCCCCTTGTGCTGGAGAACATAGGGCTAAAGTCTTTAGCACAAATACAGAACTCCACTTCCTACTGTTGCAGGATCAGAATATTTTAAAAAATTGACTTTGAATGTTTACTGAACTTTAAAGCATATCTAATAAACTTAATAGCTTTGAAAATAAATTCTGTATTACATATAGACGAGATTTTAAACAACAGTCAATACTGAGATAGACTGCAACAAATCACAAGAAGAAATTTTTAAAAAAACTGGCAGTATGGTTGTATAATTAACAACTGAATTTCAAACACATAAATGCTAAATACTTGATCGAACTTGATCAGAGTACTGTGTACAATTCTGGACATTATATTAAAAAATGAGGCAGTTAGACTGCAAAAAAAATTTAAATAAGGACTGTACAGACACAGTGGGGTGCACCTATCAAGGGTGAACATGCTGGCTGTCTTCGTTTGAAAGGGGAAGGCAGAGAGGTGATTACAAGACATGAAAGGTTTTGAGGTTGTAGATATGCTCACCAAGCCAGTGGCTTTGGTCACAAACGTTTCGTCACCCTGTTAGGTACCATCGTCAGTGCACCTCCGGTGAAACGTCCCACTTGTTATTTATATACTTGGTTTGTTGGGGTGATTGGTATTGCCTCCGGTTTTGTTTCTCAGGTTTTATGAAAGGTTTTGATGTGTAGACACAGACTGAATATTTCTACTTGTGGGAAAGTGCTAAACTAGAAGTCATCGATACAAGACAGTCACCAAGAAAGCCAATTGTGAATTCAGAAAAAAAAATCTTCATCCCGAGATGTGGAAGTGTGGAACTATGACCGTGGAATTGTTTAGACAATAGTACAGACGCATTTAAGGCGAAACTGGAAAAAACAGCTGAGAGAAAAGGTGATATATTGTCACAGTGAAATGAAGTAGGATGGTGGAGGTTTGAGGGGAGAATAAACCCAGGTTTGGGCTTGCGGACTTAATGACTTGCTGCTTTCCATATTCTATTTAATCCTTTGACAAGAAGATGAACACTTGAGGTTTTCTAAGATTCATTTAGAGTCACAGAGATGTACATCACAGAAACAGACCCTTTGATGCAACTTGTTCATGCTGACCAAATCTCCTAAATTAATCTAGTCCCATTTGCCAGCATTTGGCCCATATCCCTCCAAACCCTTCCTATTCATATAGCCATCCAAATGCCTTTTAAAATGTTGTAATTGTACCAGCCTCCACCATTTCCTCCAGCAGCTCATTCCATACACGTACCATCCTCTGCATGTAAAAGTTGCCTCATAGGTCCCTTTTAAATCCTTCCCCTCTCACCTTAAATCTGTGCCCTCTAGTTTTGGACTCCCCTACCTTGAGGGAAAAGGTCTTGACTATTCACCCTATCCATGCCTCTCGTGATTTTATGAACTTCTATAAAGATCACCCCTTAGCCTCTGACGCTCTAGAGAAAATAGCCTCAGCCTATTCAGCTTCTCTTTATAGCTCAAACCCTCCAACCCTGGCAATATCCTTGTAAATCTTTTCTGAACACTTTCAAGTTTCACAACATCCTTCCTATCACAGGGAGACCAGAATTGAATGCAATATTCCAAAAGTGGCCTACCCAATATCCTGTATAACTGCAACATGACCTCCCAACTCCTACACTCAATGCACTGACCAATAAAGGCAAATGTACCAAACATGTTCTTCACTATGATAACAAGGTGTAGAGCTGGATGAACACAGCAGGCCAAGCAGCATCAGAGGAGCAGGAAGGCTGACGTTTCGGGCCTAGACATTTCTTCAGAAATGTTATCTCAGATTCTCCAGCATCTGCAGTTCCTGCTATCTCTGAAACAATGTTCTTCACTATCCTGTCTACCTGCAACTCCACTTTCAAGGAATATGAACCCGCACTCCAAGGTCCCTTTGGCAACATTCCCCAGGACCTCACCATTAAGTGTATAAGTCCTGCCCTGATTTGCCTTTCCAAAATGTAGCACTTGACATTTAACTAAATTAAACTCCGTTTGCCACTCATTGACCCATTGGGCCGTCTGATCAAGGTCCTGTTGTACTCTGATGTAACTGTCTTTGCTGTCCACTAACCACCACCACTTCTGTCTAGAACTGTGATTTCCTCCCTTACCCTGCCACCTATCAACACTCTGAAGGGATTGACAGTCAAGAAATACAATCTTTTTCGATCTATTGATCAGAAGTATTCCTATGCCGAAGAGAAACACAATGAATACAATGCCAATGAATTTTTCTCCTTCTTAGAATATAAATTCACGGAAGCCAAGTTTATTGTCATGGGACATGGGATGCATGGCACTGAAAAGCCATTGCACAGAAATGAATCAAGAAGGTTAAGGTGATACAAATATAGCTTGGGAAATCAGAGTTTTAAGAGGAGAAAGAGTGGTACATTGGGATAAATGAAATTTTGAATTGTTGCACCATTGCAGAATAAATACCTAGGAAAAGTGCTGCAATAGAAATGTTGATTGTAAATGCTGCTACAGGTCTTGATTTTTTAAAAACCAGATACTAGGTCATCACACTGCAATAATTCATCAAAGAACACAGCTCGATCATTTAGTCCACAATCTGCCAAGGATCAGTTGTGAAATGAATTGCAGTAAATTCAAATTCCTTTTAAAAATTCAGTCCAAAAGTATCCAGGATTTGTCATGATTACATTTTGTGAAGTAGAGACGAACTGTGAATCAAAACTAATTTTTTGATATCTTCTAGGATATCTGATCACAAGAGGATTGCAGGATTTCACACTATGTTATTTTCCAGTACTTTGGTTCCTCTGAAGAATCGGATAAAGTCAAATGCACTTAGGTCAAGTGTTTTGAATTTTCCATCAAGAATGAGTTCAGCAATAGATCTGCCCACAGCAGGTGAGTGCTGTAGACCATGCCCACTGAAGCCAGTTGCAAAATACATGTTGGTAACCAATGGATGAGTGCCGATGATCGCATTCTGATCGAAGGTGTTGTAATCGTAGTAACCTGCCCAAGCACTTTTCAACTGAAGACAGAAATACATTAGGTTAAAATAATGGCAACAATTTCCCCATTGCAGAACTCTCTCTAAATACCCATAACTGCCCCAGACACACCCTGAAAATACATAAATATCCTGACAGAGATCCCGTGAGCACACACATCCATAGAGACCCCTTGCTTACACTCAATAATGCCTCAGATTCCGCAGCAAATCTGCACATATGCACCCCACCTCACAGATACCTCTTGTAAATATGCACACGTCGCCCCCGCCTCCTCCCCACCCTCACTCCCACAGATTGTGATTGCATTCTTGCAGGCACTCAGTCACAGAAACTTCCAGCAGGTGAGATTTGGAGAGGTGATCAAAACTTTGATTAAAATATGTTGATTTTAAGGATGGCTTTATAGGAAAAAGCAAAGTTGCAGGTGGGAGCAAATTCCAGACCTTCAGGCCTAGCTGAGTGACGGCACAACTGCCCATGATAGGGTCAAAGGACTGGGAAAGAATTAGAAGCCAGAAAGGGAGACAAACAGAAATAATGACCCAGAATTAGCTGGAGCTGGCATTACATGACTAGAGTTTATTCTTCTCACTCTTCAGTTTGGAATCCAAATGAACATGCCCATCACAGTAGGAAGTTTCAGCTAAAACCAAAATCAATCACTTAGCTCTGCTCACAAAACAGATTTCAGGCCAGAAATGGTCTGAGACTCAAACTGCATTACATACTGAATTAATTGATGTTGGTTGGATAGTAATGTACATGCTTAACCTTTATAAATGCCCTTATGCTCCCCAAGGAGAAATAAATTAACAGCTATAGTGACCATTCCATATTCCCAACCAGTGACTTCGGTTTGCAGAAGGATGAAGCTCAGAAACAACATCCCTCACTGTTAAGCTGACTACTGATTGTGAGTGATCTATGGGCTCCCACAAGAAAAATAGTCAGGCAAGCCAGGGACTAAAGATAGACAGAGTCTTACTTCAGTCACCATGAGGAAACAAGACAATGTTCAGAAACAGCCACATTACACTGTGCCAATATTCATGAAGATATTAAAAATGTTTCACGTAACTTACCTTCAAGGACACAAAAGCAGGCACTCTCTGAGCTAGTGTGGGCCAAACTGAGTCTTGGAAGTATTCATAATCCACCTCCAGATCACTGGTATCTGGTTCGTCCTCCTATAACAGCCAGGAATTGGAGTTATTAATGGCATAGGTGTGTCGATTCCATTTTATTCTGTTTTATTCAGAACAAAACAGACGGACAAATTTCCATTACATCTTTTTTGTGGATGGCCTACTTGGGATGGTGAACATTAGAAATTGAGAACGCACCATCTAACACTTCCAGGCAAGGAACAGTATAGCTCAGCCCAATCAGGCATTCCCAGATCTCAGTGCATTTGGATTAAGACTGGACTAAACTCATGTCACATAGTATTTGGTTCATGGTTGGGACTTTCAGTTCAACTACCTCAAGTAGATTTATATTCTGATGTTCAATGTTAAAGGCCAGAGAATATATTTTCCTGAAAAAGATGATAGAACAGCTTTCAAAGGGAATTGGAAAAATTCTTTGAAAAAACTATTACCAGGCATAATGGACCAAATGCCTCCTTTGCTGTGTCATACTTCCTGCCAGGGAAGATTTGACACATTTGGACGGAGAAAACAGTCAATGAGAATTTAAAAAAAGACAAAATAAGGGACATCTTCATAGGCATCCAAGCATAGAGAGCACACAACCATCCTGGTGACCTTGCCAACCCACACCACAAGCTCCCATATACAAAAAGGAGAAATGAAAATTGCAGCTTACACTGAACTCATTGTGCTTACCTCAGTTGGAGAAAGTCCTCCCAAGTAGTTTCCTCCAAAGCCTTCTCGACGGCAATAAGCTCCCTTGTGGTCAACAATCAACGGGCATTCCAGCCCTGGACCATTTGGACAGTGGAAGACATACACATATCTGACAGAGAATAAGGAAAGAAATTAAATTCAAATGAAGCCTCATTGATTTAACTGACAATGACAACCTGTAATAAGCACAGATTCATATGGTCCTAGCATGGTCCCAGAGTTTGCTCAGCTAACTAGTCTTAACTGAGGTAGTGGTGGAAAAAATACTTCTGGCTGGCAGGGAGATGAAAGCCAGTGATCCTGCTTCTGATTGTTAACATTCTCAGTTGGCACTACTCTCTGGATCACAAAGTTCACTCCAAGACCAGAGTAAAAATCGAGCTGACATTCCAATCCAGTGTTGAGTGAGTGTTACACTGTATGAAGTGCAGTGCTGCGAATAAAATGTTAAACCAATAACCAATTTGTTCACTCAGGTGGAAGCAAAAGATCACTAACTCCTGCCAACAACCCGAGAAAAGCATCTGAAAAGCAAAAGGGACTGCAGTTGCTGGAGGTCGCACAACTGCTCCTGATGCCTTTCCAGTTAGTAAAGTTTTCAAACTTTCCTTTTAGTGTCATAATGCCTTAAAATGAAGATCAAGGTACAAGTCCCTAAGAGTAAGAGGAGAAATGCCTCAAAGGAACAGGAGTGCCAGCAACCGTAACAAACGAATGTATCAGTGTTCAACACTGCAACATGGAATAAACTATAGCTGCCAAAGAACTGTGCCCAAACTAGCCCAAAATTTCTTGTTCAAACCAGCAGGTGGCAGATGTTTGAAATGTTTTGGTCAGTCAGTTGTGAAGTCGCCTCCCAAGTCAGAAAGGCTTTGTGGAACAAGTTCATGTGCAGCCCAGTTAGCTCAGTTCATAGTTAATGGGAGTCTTAACTCTAGGGTCACGGTCTCAAGCTCCACACTGGGGCTGATGATCCATTACTTAATATTCTATTTAAGGAGGTAAAATATTGGACACTATTAAAGGAGCAAAAATCAACATCACAAAAAAAACAGGTTATCTGGTCATCACCACATTGTTGTATGCGCGAGTTTGTTGTGCAAATTAGCAGTTGTATTGCCTGCTGTCAAACAACTACACTTCAAAATTATTTATTTAGCTGTAAAGCACTGAAATATCAGCTGGTTGTGAAAAGGACTTACAAAAATGCAAGTCCCTTTTTTGGACTTTGTGCGAACACAGGATGCAAACAGTTGAGTATCTTTGCTAGTGTGTTCTGCCTTGGCTGATACAAAAAGAACAGACACTTAGGTGAACAAATTAAACCTGCCACAGTAACACAGTCAGTGCCCAAGGGGAGGAAACATACAAAATGTTAAAAAGGTACAGTTTAAATCTTCTACATGAAACTCTGTTAGGTTAATAAATTTGCAAGCATAGGTTCTCAGAATATTCTGTTTCAAATCACTAGTCTAGAATGTTTAAGAAAATCTTTAGCTACCATTTGTTTGAACTGTTCGGAGATCGTTACCAAAAACCTGGTAAAGTATTATGCCTGTCATGGCTGTTCTCATTGCTGTTCTCCCCAAGGTTCCCCTTGTAACCATTCTATAATTAGGGAAGGCAATGGCCTAGGGGTATTATCGAAGAACTGTTAATCCGGAGACCCAGATAATGTTCTGGGGATCCAGGTTCAAATCCTGCCAAGGCGGATGGTGGAAATTCAATAAAAAATATCTGGAATTAAGAATCTAATAATGACCACGAATCAATTGTCAGAAAAATCCATGTGGTTCACTAATGTCCTTTTGGGAGGGCAATTGCCATCTTTACCTGGTCTGACCTACATGTGACTCCAGACCCACAATGTCATTGACTCTGAACTGTCTTCTGGGCAATTAGAGATGGGGCAATGAATGCTGCCCTAGCCAGCAATGCCCTCATCCCATTAATGAATAAAAAAATTCTACCAAAAAGGGAGGCCATTCAGACTTGTGTGTCCCTGCCAGCTCTCTCCAAGAGCAACTCGGCTAGTTTGCTCTTTTCTGGAGTCTACAAATGTTTTCTCTTCAGGTAGTAACCACATTTCGTTGAGAATACCATGACTGAGTCTGCCTCCATCAGACATTGCATTCCAGCTCAAAACTCAACACAACACTCCAGCTGAAGCCAAACCAGGAGCGGTTTATAAAGGCTCACCATAATTTTACTGATTTTGTATAATATATTTCCATTTATAAAACCCTAGGTTAACACCCTTCTGCTCTCTCCTTTACAACTCTATCTTATATTTTATATTGCCCCTCCCTAATCTTCTGACAAATAAGGTAATAAACAAATACTTCTTTACATGGAATTTCATATGTCATTTGTCTGACCATTCTACCAGCATACCTCTATCAGCTTGGGATCTGTCACTATTTTCCCCACAATTCTCAAAACTTTCCATTTTTGTCACTTCAAATTTTGAGATTGCACTCTGCACATTCAAGCACAGATCATTCACATGAACAGGAAAGCACCGGTCCTAATACCAATCCTTGAGAACTCCACTACGTAAATTTTTCAATAGAAAGAATACAACTTTGCTCAGCACTGGTCTTTGCTGTCATTCAACTCCAGTCCACACTGTTTGTTCCCTTGGGCTTCAATTGCAGTACAAAATTACACTGGATCACTTTCCTTTCTGCCTAGTGCTTCAATCAGGAAGTCCCACATGGGAGAAAATTATAGGCAGGAACACATTCAACACTATGCACCCCGACTGCTCCTTCCCAGCAAATCTCAGGTGGTGCCTGCTTTTATTACCTAGACATGTCACGGTAGATCACGTGCGACTTTTCAGTGGAGTGGCTGGTGCACCAGATTATGGCAAATAGAAATTCAACCAATTCTGCAATTCCTTATTCTGGTGAAAAACTCGGCAGAAAAATATAGGGATGTCTTTCGTTCTTACTATAGATTCTGTAGGCCTCAATGTGCAGCCTACCCGGTTCTGTACTTTGCAGAAAGCTGCTTTATTTGCTCACCTTTTTCTGGGCTCTACTGGGAGTTTTATGCCCTCCAAGGTGCCTTCAGGTCCATTACCAATCCCAGCCATCTCTGCCACTTTTCCTGACCATGCTCCAGCCTCATTGACTACGATTGCACATTCCACTGGTTGGTACTCTATGCTATTTGGCATCCGCACCTGTAATGTAGGAGACATAGCAACGGTCACTGAGAGATCTCCAGTAAACATTTATGACAGGAATCTCTTTACTGATATCCACTTGTGTTGGGTTAGCCAACAACTTGCAAATATTGCAAGGACATATTACTCAAGGAACAGAGTGTTCCATCTCTGGTCTCCATTCAATCTTACCTACTAACAGGTGTAAGATCTTCAAAGAACTTGTAAAGTCATCTAGATCAGTTCAAAAATAGATCAACAGGGATGTGTAGATTAGGTGGGTTACAGAGTGATGGATCTGGGTGGGATGACAGATGTCAAGAGTCTATATAATGGTAACACCTATAAGACTACTTAGAGTCCATGGCATTGGGGGAAGCAAATTAAAATAGATAAGAGGATTGGTCAACTCAGATATTAGCATTGTGACAAAGTGAGCATTTTCAGGATGGCAATCTGGAACTATTGTTCTACATCAATGCTAGTGCCACAGTTATTCACTATGCATATGAATGAATTGGACGATGGAAAAGAATGTTAAAAAAAAACAGATAGGGAGGCAAGTGGTAAGAATGACACACAACTAAGTCTACAGAGGTACCTAGACAGGTTAAGTGAGTCTACTTTAAACAAAAATGTTATTAGTCCTAGCCAGATCATAAAACATTTCAAAGTCTCATCAGGGATCATAACAATTTGTGAGCTTATCTGGGATCACAACACCACACCTGACTATGGACTTATGAAACACCCTAACAGAGCTTACAGGGGTACAGGAATAGTCAGACACAGCAGCGCATGCAGGGCCTAGAGGTGGTGGATATTCAGCTGCAGCAGTGCATGAAGTGGGAGGGAGATAGTCAGCCAAAGTAGTGCAAGGAGCTGAGAGAGTCAGCCAAAGGAGCACATGAAGCAAGCGTGGAGGGAGGGAGAAGAGGAGAGATAGTCAGCTGCAGAGTCTTTTTAAATTCTTTTCTGGGATATAAATTATACATTTACTGCCAATCATCAATTGCAGTCAAGAAGTTACTGATGAGCTGCCTTCCTGAATTGCTGATGCTCTTGGAGTGTAGATATACCCAGAGTTATTTCGCAGTTTCAGGATTTTGACCCAGTGATAATGAGTAAACAACAATATAGTTCCAAATCAGATTGGTGTGTGGGATCACGAGAGGCAGGGAGGGCCCCAGTGGACTGGAAAATGGTGAATGTAACCCTTGATTAAGAAGAAAGAGACAGGAACATATAGGCTGGTTAGTCTGACCTTGCTTGTTGGTAAGATTTTACAGTCCATTATTAAGGATGAGATTATGGAGTACTTGGAAGAGCATGGTAAAACAGGGCAGAGCTAGCATGACTTTGTCAAGGGGAGGTCAAACCTGACAAATCTGTTAGAATGAGACTTGGACAGAAACGACTGCAGATGATGGAAGCGAGAGTCAAAAAAAACGTGGAGCTGGATAAACACAGCAGGTCAGACAGCATCTGAGGAGCAAGAAAGTCAACGTTTTGGGTTGGAACCTTTCTTCGGGACTGGGAAGGGGGAGGGAAGCCCAGAAATAGAGGGAGGGGGACAGGGCAGCTGAGAAGGAGATAGGTGTATGCAGATAGGGGGTTATTGTGGTTGGTCTGTTGGAAGGGTGGAGTGGATAGGTGAGTAGGAAGATGGATAGGTTGAGGGTGGAGAGATTTTGAAGATGGTGATGCAGGTAGGGGATTGTGGAGAATTCTTTGAGGAGGTATTGAGCAAGTTCGACAAAGGAATGCCAATGGATCTATGTTGTATTTTCAGAAGGACTCTGACAAGGTGCCACACAAGAAGCTGCTAATCAGGATAAGAATCCAAAGTATTAGTGGCAAGGTACTGGCATGAATAGAGGATTGGCTGATTGGCAGAAGGCAGGGAGCACATATAAGAGTATCTTTTTTAGGTGACAGCTGGTGACTAGTGGAGTTCCGCAGCAGTCAGTGTTACGTCACAACTATTCACGTTATACATTAACAATCTGTACGAAGGAACTTAGCGCATTGTTGCTAGGTTTGTAGATGACACACAGATAGGTGGAGGGACTTTCAATGAAGAGTCAACGGACTCAACATATTAATGCTGCTTTCTCTCCACAGATGCTGCCAGATCAGCTTGGTTTCTGTTCTGGATAACATCCAAGGTTCTGAGGAAGGGTCACCGGACCCGAAACGTTAACTCTGCTTTTTCCTTCACAGATGCTGCCAGACCTACTGAGCTTCTTTGCAACTTTGTTTTTGTTCCGGATTTACAGCATCCGCAGTTCTTTCAGTTTTTATCCAAGGTTCTTGGTTCTATTCTAGTGTAGATTTAGTGTAGCTGTGATGGTAGAGGTGATGGGCCAAACAGCCTCTTCTGAACTGTGTGATTCTATTCAACAGAAACAGTTTCCATGTGGGAGAGTACAGAATAAACAGTTATAACCCTAAAATCAAATCCATACCATTCGGGGTGAGGTCAACAGAGATCGAAGAAAGTTTAATTAACAAGGTACTTTTACAGAGGCAAATAAATATACAAATGGAATGAGATGGAGCTCAGCCATTAGCTAGTAGTGTAAAGGACTCAAGAAACTAAAATAAGGCTGAAATAAGTTACCACTGGTCACGTACATTGACATGGTGAATTCTTTTCAGTGAGACACCTCTGCCATCATCAGTCTTCATCTCTCTGGTTGAACATTGAAAACCTGCCAGAACATAAGTTTTTTTAAAAAAGATCTTATCAAGCAGCCTGGAGATTAGTAATACTGCAATACCACTGCTATGCAAATTGCCCCTCTACGAACCTCCCATCTAATGCAGCAAACTATGCTAGTAGTGTAGACAGAGAGCTCAACACTTCTCACTACTTGGACAGATGTGTTGAACCAGCTGAAAGCTCTGATGTTGAATCAGATTTACATTAACAGTGAGCTGCGAGAAATATTGGCTTACGAGTAAGCACAAGTGCAATTACCAGACACCCTTAAGCTTCTTTGGTAAAATCAAATTTCTCTATTTTTGAAAAATAGATTCATAGTCTTGTTAGAGTCACCTGGGTATCACTCAAAATTATAGAATCCCTACAGTGTGGAAACAGGCCTTTCGGCCCAACAAGTCTACACCGACTCTCAGAGCATCCCCCCAAACCCATTCCCCTACCCCTTCCCTGTAACACACCTAAGATGCACATCCCTGGACACTATGGGCAACACAGCATGGCCAATCCACCTAGCCTGCATATCTTTGGACTGTGGGAGGAAACCAGTGAACCCAGAGGAAACCCATACAGACACGGGAAGAATGTGCAAACTCCACATAGATAGTCGCCCGAAGATAGAATCAAACCCGGGTCCCTGATGCTGTGAGGCGGCAGTGCTAACTACTGTGCCACGCACTCCTTCATTCTTGTTCAGGTGCTAAACCAAATAGTAAAACAATCGGTTGGGATTTTATGTGATGTCATCACCCAATGTATTTTGTTCAGTTTAATGTCACAGTTTACAAGATAGATGAGGATTTGAAGCATTATTTGGTTTGCTTTAGTGGATCGACGCCAAAATAATCTACAACCTTTCCAACATCACCCAACTGGTGCTTCTGAGATGTGTGCCACACAAAGTCAGTATTATGCATGTACCTAGTTGGTTGGAGGATAATAGGGATCAATCAATAGGCACAAGACTGAAGACACATGTACAACAAGCATAGTAGGAAGTTGTGAATGAGTTGGGTTTTAAAACCTGTTCTTGTGATGACTTTTGTGGAACTACTGCAACCACTAGGTCATCATCCAAGTGAACAACAGGCAGAATATGAGCAGGAAGAAATCCCAGCAGCCCATGTAACTTAGATTAGACATCTAAAGAGAATCTTGAATGGTTAGATCTTCAGAAAAATGGAAGAATCACATGTACATCAGGAGGAATTCAGCAAGGAATTTAGTATAATATTTAATACAAGACTTGCAGTGGAAGTCAGTATAACAGGAAGTGAAAATTTAAGTGCAGTACAGGCTAATGCACAGCTTAGGTTATTAGAATTCTACAAGTTATAGCCAATCTTGACATATTGTAAATTTTTGGATAATTCAAGCAAAAAGCAGGTTTTACTATAGGATCAAGGCAAAGAGTTGGATACAGTCTATTTGTCCAGTATGCCAAACATATATATTTATGATATCCAAGCTGTCTGTGCAGCTACTCAACATCAGTGGGGTCAAAGCCATCCAGGTTACAGCTGTGTTGCCATCCAAAAAAACAAATTGTCAGAAACATCTACTGACTGAACTGGACAGCAGACTTAGAGACGCCATCTAGCTATCGACAAGGCTACTGCTCGACTCTATGACCGTGCATATGAAATAAACAAGTATCCTGAAAAGAGTACATCTGTCTATAATTGAGAAGGGCTATCTTATACTCTAATAGGAGATGAGGTATAATATAAAATTCAAAATTTGTAGATCTCAGTTGGAATCCTCATATGGGAGGAGCCTATACTTGTGGAAATGGGATCTCTGGTGCACATATGGGAAAAGTTAATTGGAAACTTTATTTCATGATCTGGCACATTTTGAAATCATGCTGCAGTTTTCTATTTCTTTAAATGTTCCAGGTTTTCTTTCATCCATTATCCTCTTGTTCACTGAGCATGACACTGATTTGAAATTTGCTGTTCTCCAGACTCATCATGAGTTCCCTTTTTTAACTATCAGATTAATTTTTATTTGTATATTAAACTATTCCTGCCTGAAATGAGAGCTCGTATACTTTGCAGACTTGCTGATAAAGTGCTACGGTGTACAAATTAACTTTGTAGCTAGTTAGTTCCTGAAACTGAACTATGGAGTTAATAATACATCCAGAATGAACCTCCCTTCATCATAAGGTCAGAAATAATGATGTTTGTTGATGACTGCACAATGATCAGCACCATTTGTGAATCCTCAGATTCTGAAGCAATCCATGTCCAAATGCAACAAAATCTGGATAATATCCAAACTTGAGCTGAAAAATGGCACATGACATTGTCACCACACAAATGCCAGGGAATGACCATCTCCGATAAGAGACAGACAATCTAACCATCACCCCATGACATTCAATGGAACTACCATCATTGAATCTCCCCCTATCAACAACCACTGACCAGAAACTGACTGGACTTGGCATATACAAACAGTGGCCTTTGACCTGGTCATACCAAGTAACTCTCAAACCTAAACCTTGTCCACCATCTACAAGGCACAAGTCATGAATTTCATGGAATTGTCTCCACTTGCCTGGATAGGTGCAGCTCCAACAACACTCAAGAACTTGATATCATCAAGATGAAAGCAGCCTCCTTGATTGGCATCACATCCACAAACATTCAGTCATCTTACTATCAACAGTCAGCACATTCCAAATATTCAAAAGCTATCATCTGGAGGGACAAGGACAGCAGAAACATCCGACCACCACCACCTGCAAATTCCCCTCCAAGCCTTTCATCTTCCTGACTTGGAAATATACCACCGGTCCTTCACAGTCACTGGGTCAAAATCCTAGAATTCCCTCCTTCTAAATGACATAATGGGTCAACCTAAAGCACACAGACTGCAGCAGTTCAAGAAGGCAGCCCACCACTACCTTCTCAAGGCAAGCAGGGACAGGCAATAAATGCTGACCCAACCAGCAATGACCTCAGGTAAATAAAAGGCTTAACTAAATTTAATTGTAACCTCTCCATGACACTCGTCACCTGATGAGAGCAGCCATACAGATCACAGCATTTTAGAATCATCCCCAGTTAGTACCATCAGCTGATCTCAGCAAAAGTAACAGCTGAGGTGCCACAACTAGCCCCATGACCTGAGGTAGGAAGGAGGGAACTATTATTACGGGACAAAAACAAAGTTGCTGGAAAAGCCCAGCAGGTCTGACAGCATCTGTGAAGGAAAGAGTTAACGTTTTGGGTCCGGTAACCCTTCCTCAGAACTGATGGTGGCTGGGAAAATACCAGTTTTTATGCAGAAAATAGGAGGTGGATGGGGTAGGGAGTAAACAATAGGGTAGAGTCTAAAAAAAAAGAGAGAAAGATAGTTGGACAGACAAAGGGGTTGATAACGATCAGGCTGGGAGGGTGAATAGTTGTTAATGGGGACTATTAGTGACTAACAACAGGTAGTGTAATATCAGGCTATGTAATAACAAGGCCTGGTGTGTGGGGTAGGGGGCTGGGACACGAGAGAGGTTAAGCCCTAAAATTATTGAACTCGATATTGAGTCCAGAGGGCTGCAGGGTCCCCAAGCAGAAAAGGAGGGCGGTTGTTCTTCCAGTTTGCATTGAGCTTCGCTGGAACACTGCAGCAAGCCGAGACAGATGTCGGCCAGGGAACAGGGTGGTGCATTAAAATGGCAGGCAACGGGTAGTTCAGGGTGCTTTTTGCAAACAGAACGTAGATGTTCTCCAAGGCGGTCACCCAGTCTACCCTTTGTTTTCCCAATGTAGAGGAGACCACATAGTGAGCAGCGAATGCAGTAAACTAGATTGTGGGAAGTACAGATGAAGTGTTGCTTCACCTGGATGGCATTTTTGGGCCCTTGGATACTGGGGAGGGAGAAGGTAAACGGGCAGGTGCTGCACCTTTGCCAGTTACAGGGAAAGGTGCTGTAGGGCTGGGGGGTGCGTGTGCATGTGCGTGTGGAGGGAGGGTGGTGTTGGAGGTGAAGGAAGTGTGGACCAGGGTGTCCTGGAGAGAATGGTCCATGCGGAAGGCAGACAAGGGAGGGGAGGGAATATATATGTCTGGTGGTGGCATCTCGCTGGAGGTGGCGGAAATAGCGTCTGATGATTTTCCGCTCATTTTCCACTTGGGGACCCTGCAGCACTCTGGACTCAATATCGAGTTCAATAATTTTAGGACCTAAACTCTCCCACATTCCAGCCCTCTACCCCACACACCAGGCCTTGTTATCACATAGCCTGCTGTTACACTACTTGTTGTTAGTCACCAATAGTCCCCATTAACAACTATTCACCCTGCATATAAGCTGACATTTTCCCAGCCCACCATCAGTTCTGAGGAAAGGTCAACAGACCCGAAACGTTAACTCTGTTTTTTCCTTTACAGATGCTTCCAGACCTGCTGGGCTTTTCCGGCAACTTTGTTTTTGTTCCTGATTTACAGCATCTGCAGTTCTTTCAGTTTTTATTTACTGTTATTATTCAATGAGCACAGTTGAAAGTGAATGTGAATAGATGTCAGATAAGTACAGCAATCACAAGCAAACCAAATTTGAAAAGTGGAGCCAACTAGGGGGGCCAAATGTCCTACTTATGCTCCTGCTTTGTAATAACCTACTAACACACTGTCTCAGTGTAAAATTATGAATTAATGAAGTCTTGGGGACAATTGCCAGTTGAGAAATGCAAAAGATAGCAGGAAATAAACAACTTGAAACCTTCCAGTGAGTTTAGATATATGCACGAGGGTGAGAATCACAGTTGAGTGACTCACCATTCCGAGTGTGGAAACAACTGGTCCTTGATCAATATCAATGAATACTGCACGTAATGGATCATGACAATGCAATGGTTGCTACTGTTCATATTTTTAGTGCAAAAATGCTGAAAAAGTTCAGAAAAATCATGAATCAAGGCCAATAATGGAAACAATCAGCTGTCCTCATGGATATCCAATATTTCACAATGCAACTGACACCAGCACTGCTCCCCTCAACCAAGTCTACAAACAGTCTCAGTCTCAATCATCTAGAAAAGAATTGGGAAAACCATTGGATAATTTTGGCTAACTGAAAACAGTTTGCACATATACAACACCTTTATACAATAAAGCATTGTGGAACAAAATCTGACACAGCCAATGGAGACTTAGGAAGCCAAATGTAAGGAACTCACCCAATTTCTATTCGAACACTTGCAATGAATCTTGTACTCACTACGCACTCCCAATAACTTGTTAAAATGGTCAGTAACAGTGTGCAAAATACAGGCTCCTGATCTCCAATGTAGCTCAGTGCTTACAATAATTTAGAGGCCCCAGTCTGACCTGCTGCGCTTTTCCAGCCTCATACCTATAGACTCTGGCTTTCAGCATCTGCAGGCTTTATTGTCTCCTCTATCTTTAAATTACGAGTAGAGCAGAAATAGTTCCATCTGGAATTTTCTTCACAAGAGTTTGGTTAGTGCTTCTTTTTTGTCAGTAAAAGTTTAGTTCTTTAAAAAGAAGAGATCCTGTTGCACGGCCTTTTCAATTAAAAATGGAGAATTCAAGTTTATTTTTTTAAGTCTCTACACAGATTGTAACATTAGCTCTAATTTAAGGCCATGACTCATTTTGAAGAGAAGTAAAGAAATTCTGCTTGGTGGTCTGGCCAACATCAGTCAACCAACAACATTCAATCATTTATTTGGTTGGTTTTTATCTGATCTTGTTGTGCACGATTTAGTTGACATGTTTAACTACTCATATTTCAAACAATACTTAACTGATTGTGAAGTGTCGTGCAACATCATAGGGTTATGAAAGAAACTATATGAATATGATTACATAAATAACAGACTGAACCAACCCTGGTAGTGGTTTAATGTACCAATGACCTATCTAAATCCATTCTCGAATTCAGACAGTTGAATGCTCTCCAGCCTTTTAAACAGGATCATACCATCAACATGATTGCATTTAAATTGCTCACCTATCACTTCTCCATAACATGGAAACACACCCATTGATATCGCCTTCTTTCGGAAAGCATTCAGCAGCAGCCAGGGGTCAAACCAACCTTCATTCTCCAGACCTGCACCAGAGCACAAGGAGTTTAAGCAATCAACAGGCAAAATCAGGCCATTTATATTAAAATAAAACTGCAGATGCTCGAGATCAAAACAAAAACAGAAATTGCTGGCGAAACTCAGCAGATCTGGCAGCATCTATGGGAACAAAGTAAAGTTGGTGCACTGTATTATTTACTCATATTCTATTGGGAAATGATCCATCACTGTTGGAATTCTGCCCTTGAGCCCAGATGCAATTTTCAAGTATAAATTAAAAAGGTCATTATAATCTATGATGTGTGTCAGATGCATGACAAACTGTTACTCTAAAAAAGGGAATCGTTAACACACAATACTCTTGAGTTAAGATGTTAAAGCGAAATTCAAGATGAAGAGTGATGCTGCAACTTAAAATTGCTTGTGAACGAATTCCTGTAACTCAAAGTTCCTCTGTACATGTTTGAAGAACTGATAGTGAGCAGTATTCACAAGCAAAGAAGTGGAATTGAAATTCCTAATAAAATCTAAAATATGTAATAACAGGGGATTAAATTCCAGACAAGAAATTGACAGGCTGGGTTATGCAAAACATTTTTGTTGGTGGAAGTTAAGGCATCAAGTGTTAAAATTCTGCCCATTACAATGAGTAGAGATCTTCTATTCTGCAAGCCAAACAATCTCATGTTTGAGTGGCCATGTTTTTCTTGTCACCACAACACAAAACGGATCTTTATTTCAGCTCAGTAGCTACTCACAACACCCAGGGCCAAATACTGGCTGATGCAGTGAATGAAAATGTGATGCTCAAGGGCCATACACCTAAGACTGGGTTGTCCTCTGCACCTAACCTGGATATGATCAATTTAACACTGAGCCTGACATCTCTGTTACTCAGTTCTGAGGAAAGCTCAACAGACCTGAAACGTTAACTCTGATTTTTTTCTCCATAGATGCTGCCAGACCTTTGAGATTTTCCAGGAACTTCTGTTTTTGTTCTGTTCCCAGCATGATATCTTCCATAACAAGGCATGGAGCTGGGTGAACACAGCAGGCAAGGCAGCATCAGAGGAGCAGGAAAGCTGACGTTTCGGGTCTGGACCCTTCTTCAGAAATGGGGGAGGGGAAGGGGAGTCTCAAATAAAGAGAGAGAAGGGAGGCGATGGAAGAAGGTGGATAGTGGAGCAGATAAGTGGAGAGAAGACAGACAGGTCAAGGAGGCAGAGACGAGGGGGGCGGGGTGTGCTGGTCTTGGGATGAGGTCGGGGTGGGCAGGTGCTACACCTGCCCCCTCACCTCCATCCCAGGCCCCAAGAAAACCTTCCACATTAAACAGATGTTCACCTGCAAATCTGCTAATGTAGTATATCGTATCCACGGTTCCCAATGTGGCCTCCTCTACATCAGGCAAACCAAGCAGAGGCTTGGAGACCACTTTGTGGAGCACCTACGCTCGGTTCGTGACAAATGACAACACCTCCCAGTCGCGAACCACTTCAACTCCCCCTCCCACTCCTTGGAAGACATGTCCATCCTGGGCCTCCTCCAGTGCCACAACGATGCCACCCGAAGGCTGGAGGAACAGCACCTCATATTCCGCCTGGGAACCCTGCAGCCCAATGGTCTCATTGTGGACTTTACAAGTTTCAAGATCTCCCAACCTCTGACCTCATCCCAAGACCAGCGCCCCCTCTCATCCCCACCTCCTTGACCTGTCCGTCTTTTCTCCCACCTATCCGCTCCTCCCACCTCACTGACCAACCCCCATCCCCACTTCCTACCTGCTAGCCTCATCCCCACCTCCTTGACCTGTCAGTCTTCCCAACCACCTACCCGCCCCTCCCTCCCCACTGACCCAACCCCCATCCCCACTTCCTACCTACACTCATCTTTACTGACTTCATCCCCGCCTCCTTGACCTGTCCGTCTTCTCTCCACCTATCTGCTCCTCTATCCACCTTCTATCATCACCTCGCCCTCTCTCTATTTATTTCAGAGCCCCTTTCCCCTTCCCCATTTCTGAAGAAGGGTCCCGACCCAAAACGTCAGCTTTCCTGCTCCTCTGATGCTGGCTGGCCTGCTGCGTTCATCCAACTCTACACCTTGTTATCTCAGACTCCAGCATCGGCAGTTCCTACTATCTGAGTGATATCTTCCACTTTGGTTAATACACAAGTGTCACTAATTGTTCTAAATGATTCCAGTTTTTTTAAAAACTCAAGATTTTTTTTCATGATACACTCACCAAACGAAGCTATGGCGACTCCATCGGTGTTCATCCATGGGAATTTCTTTTGTAACTGCTGTGGTGTGAGCAGAGTGACTGCTGCTCCTTCAGCCCTAGAGATTAGAAGCACTGCATTAAAATTCTAACTTGAAAATGAGCCAATCTCTTTTCTGTCAATAATTACCATGCAGCCTCCCACCCACCCCCACACAGGTTGATGCCCTCTGCACAATAGATTGTACAAGCAGCTACCAACAAATACTTGCTACTTCTTCTGGAGATTGGCTTTGCTGATTTTTCTTTTCCTGACAATAAGGGAAACATTTAACATTCAATTTGCATTATGCCACAATGGTTCATCTAAGGTTGAAAACCTCAGCAAACAAAATACAGAAAACCTGTGTCCACCTAATCTTGTGACGCACAAGAGTTTCAAAATATGCACTGCACCATCTGTGAAGCTCTCTTCACTAAAACCTCTTTAGAGAAGGGAACAAACCACCAGTTTTCTATTAACGGATCAAGTGAATATAGAACCTGAACCTTCTCACTATCTATTAACTCTTAAGACAGAACAAATTTCTGTTTAATATCGTTTCATTTCAACGCCTTTCAGTTACTGGGGCCTGAGTTCTTCAGTGTTGAGAGATTTGGTTTTTAATAGTTTTGTATTGGTTTGGCTGAGGATACTTGTACATGAAACACAGAAAGCTAGCACATAGGTGCAGCAGGTAATCAGGAAGGATAATGGAATGCTGGCCCTTATTTCAATGGGGTTGGAGTATAAGAGTAGGAAAGTCGTACTGCAACTGTACGAGCTGCTGGCGAGGTCACGTCTAGAATACCATAAACAGTTTTGGTCACCTTAAAAGGAAGAATATTATTTCATTGTAGACAGTTCACAGAAGGCTCATAGGATTATGCCTGATATGAAGAGATTGTCTTATGAGCAAAGGCTAAATTGGTTGGGACTCTACTCACTGGAGTTTAGAAGTATGACAGCTGATCTCATACAGGATGCTTTTTAGGGCAAATGCTGAGAGGATGTTTCCCCTCATGGGAGAATCTAGCACCTGATGGCATAGTCTCAGAATAAAGCAGCATCAATTTAAGTCTGACATGAGGAAGAAATTCTCCTTTCAGAGGACCGAGAGTCTTTGGACGTCCTTGCCACAGAGAGCAGTGGGGGCAGAGTCCTTGTGTATATTTAAGGCTGAGATAGATAAACTCTTATCAGTAAGAAAATCAATGATTACAGGGAAAGGCTGAGATTGATAAACTCTTGATCAGAAGGAGAATCAAGGGTTATGGGAAAGGCCAGGAAAGCGGACGTGACAATGTCAGAACCCAACCACAGCTTTCACACTAATTTTTAGGGAAATTTGTTTAAAGTCCTTTCATTTAATGAAATGATTCAATTTGATTTATTGTCACATGTATTTATTACAAATACAGTGCAGAGTGATGATTAGTGTCTGCAATTTTAGGTGGAAAAACTACTGCCTAGCTCCCATATACAAAGTATAAATGCAATAAGGCTTAGTTTCGTCTGCCGAGAGTCAATAGCTCACTATTATGAATCTTGTAGGCTCATACAAGAATAAATAGTTGGGAGAGACACTTGAAGGTGTTGGAGCACAACAAAAAAAAAATTAAGGTCACACCTTCAAAAGAAAGAGAAATTCCAATGAAAGTCATGTTAAAAAATGTTACTGAAGCCTTGACTTTCAAATATCTCACCTCTGAATTTGATAGTTTTCCTCCAAAATTGCACTCTGCTCCTGTCCAGCCAGAAATAGATAGCCTGAGGGATTGAACTGGATATCCACAGGATCCTCATTCACCACATTTAAGTGCTCCTGTTTGACAGACATGGAATGAGTTTTACCTGAATGGCCAAACTGTTTCCATGCATCCCTTTCATTTATGATAAGGAAATTTACCACTATTAGAAACAATGGGCTCCTCCCCCGATTCAGTGGCTACATTATTAAAGCTCAAAAATGCAATTAAACAGATGTCCACAGTTGCTGGTACACTTTCAAAGAATCATAGAACCCTTACAGTATGGAAACAGGCCATTCGGCCCAACAAGTCCACAGTGCCCCTCCGAAGAGCATCCCACCCAGACCCATTCTCCTACCCCTACACTTCCCACGTCTAACCCACCTAACCTAAACATCCCTGGGCACTATGCACACTATGTCCACCTACCATGCACACCTTTGGACAGTGGGAGGAAACTAGAGCACCTGGAGGAAACCCATGCAGACATGGGAAGAATGTGCAAACTCCACACAGACAGTTGTCCAAGGCTGGAATCGAACCCGGGTTCCTGTTGCTGTGAGGCAGCAGTGCTAACCACCGAACGACCGTGCCGCAATTTGTTTAATTCGGATTTCATAGAATCCTTACAGTGCAGAAAGAAGCTATTCAGCCCATCGAATCTGTACCAACCCACCGGAGCATGCCACCCAGACACAACACCCACCCCATCTCAGTAACCATGCAATTACCATGGCTACTCCACCCAGCCTGCACATCTCTAGACATTACCGACAATTTACCATAGCCAAACCACCTAACCTACATATCTCTAGACTGTGGGAGGAAACCAGAGCACCTGGCAGAAAACCAAGCAGACATAGGGAGAAGATGCAAACTCCACACAGATAGTCACCCAAGACAGGAATCAAACCCGGGTTCTAGGTGCTGTGAGGTAGTGAGTGCTAACTACTGAGTTACTGTGCCACCCTTATTTTCCCCAGATTTGTTCTCCTTAGTATTGCAAATAAGTGACAGAAAACAAAATTAAGTTTTATTAGCACATTAGATGATTTATCCCTGTCTATTGTACAAGCCTATCATTTATCAACATTGAGTGCTTTTACTTCTTGATTGAGTCAATCCTCCTTGAAAGGTAAACTTCTCACTTGAAGAACTGCAAGAATTATTCCCAGTTTACAGAACCTCAGTAACTCAGATAGTTCTCAAAAAGAGAACTGGGTCTATTTACATCAGAGCAGCACAGGCGTGAAGGCAGTCAGAGGGGTTAATAAAATATTGCAAGGACTACATTGTTAGCTTAATGGTGGAGAATTTGAATTTGACAAGTTGGAGGACCAACCAAAATGGATGGAAATGTTCTATTTCTCCTACCCTGTGGATAATACGGCTGATAACATGGTGACTGCTGACTGTCTGCCTTCGACGGAGGTAAGTGAAGCCATTTCTTATTTGGGACAGGGGGTGTATTTTGTGTGGATTTGCAGATATGGCAACATACAACCAAAGTAATCTCCTGGATGAATTTTGAGGAAAGGCATTTTCCAGTGTCCTTTCTCCCTTTAATGTGCTGGTTTCCTTCTCTTTTTACACAACATCGTGCCACCTATAAGCAAGGGTATGTCTCTTGGACCCTCTAGCCTGCTCTGCCATTCAAAATATTATGGCTGATTGATTAGTGCAGTAACCCGCATACTCCCAATAACCTTCTACCCCTTGCTTATTGAGAAGCTGTCTACCTCTGCCTTAAATATATCAAAGATCCTGTCTCCATGCCTTTCAAGGAAGTGAGTTTCAAAGACTCAACACCCTCTGATAAAATTCTCAACTGTCTGAAACGTGTTATCCCTTATTTTTATAGTGACCCCTAGATTCTGTAACAAGAGGAAACATCCTTTTCACATGCACCCTGTCAAGATTCCTCAGGATCTTGTATGTTTCAATCAAGTCGCCTTTATCACATCTAAACTCCAAGCCTGTGTAAATATTTCCTCTTATGATACCTCCTTCATTCCAGGTGTTAGTCTAGAAAAACTTCTCTGAACTGCTGCTAGTTTATATCCTTCCTTAAATAAGGAGACCTATAGTAAACAGTGTAATCCAGATATTATCTCACCAGTGCCCTACATGATTGGACCATGATTGTTTTTTTCTCAATTCACTTTGTAACAAACAACAACATTCAATTGGTTTTCCATATTACCGACTTACCAGTCTTTTGCAATTAATGCTCCAGTACATCCAGATCTCTCTGCAATCTAAACAAAAAGCCAAAAGAACTGTGGATGCTGGAAATTAGAAACAAAAACAGAAATTTTTAGAAAAAACTCAGGAGGTCCAGAAGCATCTATGGAGAGAAAGCAGAGTTAACATTTCAGGTCCAGTTCTGAATAAAGTTCACTGGCCCCAAAATTGTAACTCAGCTTTCTCTCCACAGATGCTGCTGGATCTGCTTAATTTTTCCCAACAATTTCTGTTTTGGTTTTCTCAGTAATCTCTCATTTAGACATGCTTAATTTGTATTCCTGCTGCCAAAATGGGTAATCACACATTTTCCCACATTATACTCAATTTGCCAGTTTTTACACTTACAACGCCAATCTTTCTCTTCATGACCTCCTTACGTCTTCCTCAAAGCTTCAAAGATAAGTAAGTTATCAGCAAACTTAGAAACTATTCCTTCAGTCTTAGTTCAAAATCATTATATAAATTGTAAAAATTTGACGTCCCAGCACTGATCCCTGTGCCACAACATTCATGACATCGTGCCAACCAGAAAGACAGCTATTTATGTTGATTCTTTGTTTCCTAGCCAATCTTTTATCCATGCCAATATGTCACCACCTATGCCACAAGCTTTTAATTTCTGCAATAACATTTGACATGGCACCTGATCAAATGCCTTCTGGAAAACCAAATACTCTATACTAGGTGCATCAGTTCCCGTTTATCCACAACGCATTTCACTTCTTTTTAATTCACTGACAGGATTTGGGTATCACTGATTGAGCTTACATTTATCGCACATCCCTCCATGCTGCTGGTTTTAAGTTGTCTTCTTGAACTGCTGCAGTCACACCCACAATGCAGTTCCTCAAAGCACTCCAATAAAATAGGCAAACATGATTTTGCTTTCAGAAAACCCTGCTGGGTCTGCCTATTAAGACCATAAGACATGAAAATTGGCCATTCAGCCCATCAGGTCAGCTCCCCCATTCAATGAGATCATGGCTGATCTGATAATCCTCAACTCCACGTTTCTGTCTTTTCTGTATAATCCTTGAAAGTGTACTGATTTAAAAATCTGTCTATCTCAGCCTTCAACATAATGACCCAGTCTCAACAGCCCTCTGTGATAAAGAATTCCACAGATTCATAACCCCGAGTAAAGAATTTTCTAATTTCGATTTTAAACGTGCAAACCTTTTCTGAGATTATGTCCTCTGGTCGCAGACTCTCCCACAAGGCAAAGATGCTTTCTGCATCTAACCTGTTAAGTCCTCCAAGAAGCTTGCATGTTTCAATGAGATTACCTCTCATCCTTCTGAGCTCTAATGAGGATAGGCCCAAGCTGCCCAACTTCTCCTAGTTTGGTAATTTTCCATACTTGACATCAGGTTAGTACAGAGAAGGTTCACTGGCTCCAATGCCAGTGTATCTTCCCTTAGATAAAGGAACCCAAAACCGTTCACAGTATTCCAGCTATGGTCTGATTACTGCCTTGTATAGTTTTAGTGAAACCTCCCAGCTTTTATACTCCATTCCCTTCGAAAAAATAGCCAACGTTCCATTTCCCTTCCGTATTACTCACTGAACTTGGATGCTAGTTTTTTGTGATATGTGGAGGACTCCCAAACCACTGTTCTGCAGCTGTTTTTGCCTATTTAAATAATATTCAAAATAATATTTAATATTCAGGCTTATACAAGATTGAAATAATAATGCATCACCCAGTTAGTGCACTCTGGATTGTTATGATGAAACAAATTCATATTTTCACCTAGCTCTCTTGACAATAATTTTAAAATCAATGTCCTACTAGTTGTCAGAGGGAACAGTTTCTCCATATTTTCTTTAATAAAACTGTCACTATTTTGACTACTTCCCGTAATCCTACTATTCCAAGGAATCTCACCAAATACGAGTAAACGCTAAACCTCAGATCTTCAAAACCTTTCTCAAATGCGATACCCAGAATTGTACACAATATGCCACCTGAGGTCTAACCAGTAATTTGTCAAGACTTACCATCACTTTTTTGATTTTATCTCCAATAGCCCCTATTTAACAAGTGTAGAATGAATGAGTGATTTTATTGTTGCATGTATTTTATTGTGAAAAATATAGGAAATTACAGTGAAAAGCTTCCACTGTCACATGATCCAGCATTATTTTGAACAGTTTAAAAATAATTTTAAAATGTGAAAAAGATATAGCTTAAAGAAAGTCCGTGACCCTTCCGCCACCGCTACAGCGTCGCCAACCAATGAAGTCGCTGCTTCTCCGGCGCCATTTTTCATTGCTGGTTCTTCCTTGCTGATATTGCAACTTGCTCTACTGCTTTCAAACATTTGTGAATATGCTCATCTGGATTCTTAGTCCTTGAACTAAGCTGAAAATAGTACCATTTAGATTATTTCAGAGCTAGTAGGAGCTGCAGATGCTGGAGAATCTGAGATAACAAGGTGTAGAGCTGGATGTGTTCATCCAGCTCTACACCATTTAGATTATACTGTTTCTCTATATGTCTCCTCCCAAAGTGTGTCACTTCACATCCGCCAATAATCCCACCAATGCAACAAACTAAATCCTCTCATAATCTGTGACAAACCATCTCACGATTTGCCAGGTGGCTAAGTTTTACTTCATCCACGAACTACAAAAATTTTACTCCTTTTATTCAAGGACAGAGGATTAATGGTCCTAATATTTTCATGTAATCTCATTAAATACTTCCCTCTAATCACAATATCTGTTCACAACTGCTCTGCTTCCAATCATGTAGTCAATTACAACCCAAATTACACTTAATCCCACATGCTTCTATTTTCAGAATACACTTGCCATCAGCATTAATTTGTATCCATACACTTACTATTCTTACATTAACCGTTGTGAAATTGAAAAGATTTCAAATAGAAACCTCAGTGAAGATTGTCTGTGCCTGCTTCTCACATCTGTGACTATACACAAATGACTGATTTCAATTAGTCAAAGCACTGATTAGAGGGTTTCAGCTATAGGGAGAGGCTGAGGCTATTTTTTTTTTTGGAGTATTGGAGGCTGAGAGGTGACCTAATTGAGATTTATAAAATCATGAGCAGCATTGATGGGGTGAATACACGGTCTTTTTCTCAGGGTAGGGGGAGTCCAAAACTAGAGAACATAAAAGCTTAAGATGAGAGGGGAAGAGATTTGAAGGACCTAAGGGGCAACTTTTTCACGTAGAGGGCGGTGCACGTATGAAATGAGCTGCCAGAGACGGAGGAGGCTGGTACAATTAAAAGATTTAAAAGGCATCTGGATGGGTATGTGAATAGGAAAAGGTTAGAGGGATATGTGCCAAATGCTGGGAAATGGGACTAGCTTAATTTACGATTTCTGGTCAGCATGGATGAGTTGGACCAAAGTGTTTGTTTCTGTGCTATGCATCTCTATGACTCCATGACACGACTGTCAGGATGTTGGTTTGCATTGTAATAAGATGAATGGTCTTATGATGTGTTAAGTGCCACTTTGATATAAGCTGCAAATTAATGACACTGTGATAAAAAATTCACTGCAATGTACAGAATGATTCACCTCCAACATAATGATTGTGCTCTAACTTTCCGGACGCATAACTGCAGAAATTAAACTTCCATGTTTAATTTATTTCTTCTCTCATCATTTACTGTTTGTCCTGCAAATTTGTGATTTAATGGAATGCTTTTATGCTGACTGCTCAGAGGAGAAAATACACATTTAAATAACTAATAGATCTGAATACCTAGATGTTTAACAATTTACACTCAATGTCTTTAATGTAATAACATTCCTATGAACCACCTTGGAATGTTTTGTGAAACAAAATTAGACAGAGAACCACATAACAACACATGACAACAAATGGCCAAAATGTCTCATTAAAGAGGTTCCTGTACACAAAGAGGAGGATATCATTGAACTTGCTTTTGAATTTTATCGAGTGGAGACAGCAGTCTTGGAGAATTAAACCTTTCTGTAAGTTTTACACAGAAAACAACTTGCATTTACATGTTTACTGTTGCAGGTGATATTCAGATCCGAGATGGTGGCAGAGTAGGACTTCTCAGCCATAGCTGGCCTGCTCCATCTGTTCTTTTCATTTCTTTTCCTCGTATTTTTTTTCCCCCTTCTTTCTTCTTAGCAATGTCGTGAACTCCCAGCTTCAGCATGGACTCAGACTCCTGGCCTCAGCGTGGCAGTCTCTCAGTCTGGTCTGGCCTCTTTAAAGCAGCAAGAGCATAATCAGACAAAAGTTGATATCAAGTCAAAGAAGGGGATGTTATGTTGTCTTGAACTTTCCCAAGTGGCCTGTCATAACATCTTTAATAATAGCTCTAACGGCTTCACTATGATAGATATTAAACTAACTGGCCTGTAGTTTATTTTCTTCTGTTTTCCTTTGAGAATGGAAGATTTGAACGTAATTCTTTTAATCTCATGGAGTCTTCCCTGAAACTACGGAATTTTGGAAAATTAGAACCAACATATTAAGGTGTCCCACTAGAAAGTTTTTTCAAGACTCTAGAACGAAGTCTTTTGGGACCTATGGATCAAATTAACAGAGCTAGCTCTCTAGCTTTTATTAACATCTTGCCTTTCCAAAATGTTATTTTCCTTTCCATATTCAGGTTCCAATCCATGTCAATCTGCTGCCATGTATCTGTAATGGCTATACTGAGGCTGTTATTTTACTATTTTCCCAAGCTTGAGCCTTAACTATTGATTTACTGTTGCAGGTGATATTCAGATCCAAGATGGTGGCAGAGTAGGACTTCTCAGCCATAGCTGGCCTGCTCCATCTGTTCTTTTCATTTCTTTTCCTCGTGTTTTTTTTCCCCTTCTTTCTTCTTAGCAATGTCGTGAACTCCCAGCTTCAGCATGGACTCAGACTCCTGGCCTCAGCGTGGCAGTCTCTCAGTCTGGTCTGGCCTCAGTGTGCACTTCCAGCACCGAGACGATTCCAAAGTGGTTGGCCTCAAGGTGAAGCCTGACACAATCTGGAGTCAAGCCCCAGTGCCAGAGTGGACTGGGTTGGAGGGACTATTATTCTGAACTTTTCATTCGTTTGTTTTCCTAATTTATTCCTATGATCTGTGAGGCCAACTTTTTATTTCTTTGCTTTCCTACTTTTTAATTCCCCACCCCCAAAGAATTTGTATTTAAGAATCTGTACGTAGGTACCTTTGTACCTAAGATGGCACCATTAGTGGCAACTTGTAAACTTTTCATTGTACTCATTTTAGTACATGCGACAATAAAGCTAATTCTAAATTCTAAGATTCTTCTTAGATTTGTATTTTCTATCCCGATTGATTATCAATTGCAATGTTAATACTTTTCTCTCTCTTGCCTCGTCTCTACTCTTTAATTGACTGCATCTTCCCAAATTTAACCCATTGCAATCACTACTTAGTTTCTGCTTCTCCAAGAAGAGTACATGACTATGGGTGGGTGAGGTGGCAGCAGGTGGAAGAGAATTTGGTTAGAAGGGTCTAACCATATTGTTCCAGCCACTGAGTACAGGGCAGACTTAACAAATCAGTTAGTAATTTTCTACCTGACATTTCCATATGTTTGCATGTATTAATTTTAATCAGGTAAAACTATTGAACATCAGCAGTGATCCTCATCCACTTTTCATTTTGACATGAGCTTAAAATTTTGGAGAGTTAACTACTATCAAAAGGTGCAGATCAATCTTGATGTGGAACAGGATGAAAAAGACATAAGGCAAAAGGACGACATTCTTGCCTCAAACGCAGCTGGTGCCAAACTGTAAACTTAAATACACTCTCATTCCTTGTTGGATTTAGTTCTAAAGCACCAGCCAAAAGCAAGTGCTGTTGTCAAGCTGCAAGGTTTGTGTTGGGTTTACTTTGGGACTGTTACTGTAATGAGCTACTTTGAACTGTGTACTTTTTTTTGCAGTCATTCACTTTGGGATCAAAACACAGACAATATTTTTGGTCATAATTTGTAAGCTTGTGTACTTTTTGCAGTTTATGTACCTGCTACAGTCAAAGAGGTACAGGTTTACCAAGTGTTCAGGACCTCGAACACTGACCAGCTTACTTTCATGTGTAACCAGGAAATCTGCCAGTATAATCAGACCAAGGATGAGATATTGTAGATCATAATTTTAAGGACTTAGTTTCCCACAGGGATTGTATACTGCCTGTGAGTCAGAGTCATACTGACTTGGGACATCCAGCTTCTAACTCTTGTCCGTGCCAAATGATCTGATCTCACAGGAAGCTGTTGAACACAATTTACAACAGGAGTAAATGGGGACAAAATTAGCCAAAGTTCCAGTGGGAAACCTTCAGGCTCACTTCCCGAAGGGTCAAATATCCTTCCAATGTTCACTGCACAGACTTGGAGAAGGTTGTGGATGAGATACAGAAAAGCTGCCAACACCTGTGGAATTGTAGCCTTGAACAAGTCACTAAGTATACAAGAGAAAATAGACGGGCAAAGCAAAGTGTACTGTCTGAGCATTATTTTATGAATGACTTTAAGGCTGGAGGATGTCTGTAGACCTTTAACCCCTTTAAGAAACCATTCAGCAAAGTCAAAAAGTCCAAGCAATAGCCAGCTATATATTATACCCAATCTATTGATACCTGGATATTGCGAAGGAAGTGAGCAGATTCAATGGACAGGTGGATATTTTCTGGCAGAGAGAACTGCTGGCGAATTCCTCCTACAGACAAGACTGTGGAGGCTTTGGTATACTGCATACAAAAGAAAACAAATTAGCAACTGTAGACAGAGACATTCAGTAAAACAATATTGTACATGGCCCAGCAATGCAGAACATCATTGTGCCAATATGTTGGGCTGCGTTAATATATGCTACGTTTTGCTTTCCATATGCTGTTGTATTGTCAGTTTTAGTCTTATCAATAATTGGACAATTCGTACTATTATATAGGAGCATTAAAAACGTGCCAGAATGAAAACCAAACAAAAACAAACTTCCATTTTCTTTACAAGATCTTAGTGACATTATAACTTATTTAAAAGAGTGTAGTACTTGGGCTGTGTTTAACCCCAGCTTTTTGTAAAGTTGAGGCAACAGGATAAAGTCTCCTTACCACTGGTTGGGTTTGGGGCAATTTCAATCAACTTCCTTGTAGGTGCATGCTCAGACCACGAACTGTAATTTGTTAAATCTGTGTGGCCATAAGGATAAAGAACAATACAGCATAGGAACAGGCCCCTGGGCCCTCCAAACCAGCGCTAACACATTTTGCTTATCCATACTAAAACTGTCTTCACTTATAGAATCTGTATCTCTCTATTCCCTTCCTATTCATGTATTCGTCCAAGTACTTCTTGAATGCTGCTATTGTTTCTGTTTCCACCATCTCTTCTGGAAATGCATTCCAGGTGCTCACCATTCTGAAAAACATGCCTCGCACATCTCTTTTAGACATCCCCTCCTGTACCTTGAATCTGTGTCCCGTAGTAATTGACCCTTCCACCCAATAAAAAGCCTCCTACTTTCCACTCTATCCATGCCGTTCACAATCTTATAAAATTCTATTAGGTTGTACCTCAATCTCCTGCATTCCAGTCAAAAAACCCCAGTCTATCCAACCCTTCTCCATAGCTAAAAGCCCCCATATCAGGCAACATCCTGGTAAACCTTTCCTGTACCCTCTCCAAAGCATCCACATCCTTCTGGTAGTGTGGTGACCAGAACTGTACACAATATTCCAAGTGTGGCCGAACTAAAGTTCTATAAAGCTGTAGCATAACTAGTCTATCCTTATACTCAATGCCCCTTCCAATTAAGGCAAGCATGCCATAGGCCTTTTTTACTACCTTTACTACGCTGTCACCTTCAGTGATCTGTTGGACCCGCATACCCAGTTCCCTCTGGATATCAATACCGCTAAGGGTTCTGCCATTCACTGTATAATTTCCACATGTACGTGACCTTCCAAAATGCATCACCTCACATTTGTCCGGATTAAACGCCATCTGCCATCTTTCTGCCCATGCCTTCAAATTTTCTACATCCTGCTGTATCCTCTGACAATTCTCCTCAATATCCGCAACTCCACCAATCTTTGTATCATCCGCAAACATACTAATTAGACCAGCTATGTTTTCCCCCAAATCATTTATGTAGACCATGAACAGCAGGGGTCCCCGCACTGATCCCTGTGGAAAACCATTCATCACAACTCTCCAATCTGAAAAGTATTCTTCCACCAGTAGCCTCTGTTTCCTATAACTAAGCCAGTTTTGTATCCATCTTGCCAGCTCACCCCTGATAGCATGTGGCTTCACCTTTTGTACCAGTCCACCATGAGGGCCTTCGATAAAGGCTTTACTAAAGTCCACATAGACAACATCAACTGCTTTTTCCTCAATTGTCTTCGTCACCTCCTCAAAAATCTCAATCAGGTTAGTGAGGCACGACCTCTCCTACACAAAACCATGCTGTCTATTGCTAATTAAGTTCATTTGCTTCTAAATGCTTATAGATCTTGTCCTTAAGAATCTTTTCCAATAATTTCCCTACCACCGATGTAAGGTTCACAGGCCTGTAATTTCCTGGATTATCCATGCTACTCTTCTTAAACAATGGGACAACATTGGCAATTCTCAAATCCTCTGGGACATCACCTGTGGCCATAGAGGATACAATGATGTCTGTCAATGCTCCGGCAATTTGTTCTCTTGCCTCCCTCAATATCCTGGGATAGATCCCATCAGGACACAGGGACTTATCTACCTTAATACTTTTTCTTTTTAATAGCAACTTGGCTTAGAAAATCGACACTCCCTTCCCAGAGATTAACCTCCACCAGTTTCTTCTCCTTGGTGAATACCGACACAAGTATTCGTTTAGGACTTCACCTACCTCTTCTGACTCCACACAGATTCCTTCCTTCGTCCTCGAGTAGGCCAACCCTTTCCCTGGCTATTTTCAAACGTTTTATGCACATATAAAAAGCCTTAGGATTCTCCTTAATCCTACTTGCTAACAACTTTTAATGGCCTCTTTTAGCCTTTCTAATTCATTGCACAAGTTCTTTCTTTCTTTCCTTATATACTTCAAGGGCTTCATCAGTTCCCGTCCTCTTAGACGTTACATGTGCTTCCTTTTTCTTTCTGACCAAGGTCATTACATCCCTGGTCATCCAAGGTTCACGTAACTTGCCATATCTATCTTTCATTCTCGCAGCCATTCGAAATACTCCTACATGTAGGATGTGGATTTACCCTCAAACAGCTACCTCCAATCAAAATTCTCCAGTCTTGCCTAATATTGTTCTGTTCGCCGTCCCTCCCTTTTAACACGTTCACCCAAGGACTGCTGTTATCCCGATCCATGAGTATTTTAAAACTCACTGTATTATGGTCACTACTCTCTAAATGCTCCCCCACTGAAAATTCACTCACCTAGCCAGGCTCATTTCCCAAAACCAGGTCCAGTATAACCCCTTTCCTGGTTGGGCTGTTTACATATTGTGTCAAGAATCCCTCCTGAATGGTCCTTACAAATTCTGCCTATCCAAGTCCCTAGCACATAGTGAGTCTCAGTCAATTTAGGGGAAGTTAAAATCACCCACCACAACAACCCTGCTGTTTTTACACCTTTCCAAAATCCGTCTACATATTCTCTCCTCCATCGCCCGCTAGCTGTTGGGAGGCCTGTAGTATATCCCCAGCATTGTGATTTCACTTTTCCTGTTCCAGAGTTCTACCCATATTTCCTCGCTCCATGAGTCCTCTGATGTATGCTCCCTCAGTACAGCTGTGGCCAGGGTTGTAAAGTCCAGCATTCAGAGTGGGATGTGGACACATATACATCATTGTTTGCATCATGCTCTCCTGAAAATTGCAGTTCTGCAAAATAAGGCAGATTCTAGAGCCCAAGATAGATCATCCTGAGCTACTCCTAGACACTCTGCAGGGATCAGACAGCATTTGAATTACTCACATACATTCTCAGTTACAAATGACACAAAGCAAGTTATTGCCAAAGAAAAGATGAGAGAAAGCAGTATTGTCAAGAGAAAAAATTTGAAATTATGTTTCCAGTAGGGAAGATAGCCAACCTACAAAAAAAATACTTTGAGCTTCCAACATGCACATCTGTAGTCACTCCAAAGTTGGAAAGTTCCTCAAAAATGAGAAGGAATAATTCTCAGTCACTTTCCCTCAACTGAACATTCATCATTTTTGCATTTCAAGTGTTCAACCTATCATACTCAGGGAGCTCATGGTGCTTATCCCCCAATGAAAACCAGTTATTGTGAAATAACGTTTCATGTTCTAGCAATACGTTTTTCAAACCAAAGGCATAACTGCCGGTTTGGTGCAATTTCAATCAAATAAACAAGAGTACCATTCTGTCAATGATCCCTCCTTGTTTTTTGCACTAAAGAAAATAAATCAAAGATGGATGTTTGCACGTGTAAACAGTTCCTTTGATTAGATAAGTTATAAATGGTGCAAAGCCTAAATAGAAACAGAAAATGCTGGAAAGAGAACAGTAGAAAAAAGGAATATTAGACTTAAAATGTTAAAATCAGTTTCTCTCTCCACAGAAACCAGAAGATGCTAAGTTTCTACATGCAGCACTTTACTTTTGTACAGTTTGAGTTCCCACCCAAACACAAGAGATAGTAGGAACTGCAGATGCTGGAGAATCTGAGATAACAAGGTGTGGAGCTGGATGAACACAGCAGG